GCAGATTTGTTTAACTTATAAAAACTAACACATAACAGCTTTTCGAATTGAAATTGGTGTAGTTTTGGCTTAGTTATGATATTTGAAAAACTTTAATATTGCCAAAAAAACCATATAAAAATATCGTAAATATACACACTTTGGGTTCTCGAACTCAGCTACCTTTCTTGATGGGTTATAAAAAAGCTCTTATAAGAAGAAATTAAAGAAATTAGTTAGCTTAGATTTGGGTTAAAAAACTGTTCTCTCCTGAAGAGTTACTATATATAAGAGAAACCTTACAGATTCTTTATATAATGATTCAATAAAGAAAGTATTTAAAAGCCCTCGGAGTTATTTAATATTTTGCAAAAAAATTCAAGGGAACAAAATTTCTTCTATTTTTCTAAAAAGATAGTTTATTTTAAGTTATAAATTTTGCGACTTTTCCCTCTATTTTTATACCATCAAAATTTCCATGGAAAACCAAATTAAAAATGTGTTTTCTTTTTTAAATTTTTCATTGGCCGCCTCACATATTCCGGCGACTGGTGGCCACAATTTTTTATGAACTTTTGCTCCATTTCGAGTTACACTTTTGCATTGCGTGGCTGGCCAACTGCCAGCGGAGGAGATATAGCCAAGAAAAAAAGGAAGAAAACAGACAGGGAAACAGTCGGTTTCCCTCCATGACTTGGGGATTCCAGACTCCGTGAAACACGGAGGCCACCCAGCCAACCTTGAATCCCGTGGCGAAAAGCAAGAGTTCAACTACCTATTTGGGTTTTTGTGCGTTGCTCGAGATCGTTGATCAAATTTTTGCTGCCACTTTCAACCGGCCAAAAGATGTCCGAAAAAATAATAACAAACATACATATTGCATGCGAGATAAGCGAGAAGAGGCTATAAATAAATGCAAAGCATTATAATGACAGCAATAACGAACACGCTGATGTCTTGGCACACCCCATTCATCAAGTTCGATGGGACACGCACGGCCGCAGCCTCAGATCTGGAGATCTCCTCATTCGATTCCGATTCGGAGTCCCCATTCGCATTTCCATATCCAGTCCGGAGAGTTGGGGAGAGTCTGGACCCCATCAGATGATGCACATTTCATTGAACTTTTTCGCTGTCCGCGCCTTGGTTTTTGGGGGATTGCGACAACATGTTGCACATGGCTGAGGCCTTCCAATTAAGTGCAATATGAGTAGCACTCGTCGCTTAGAGAATATTTAAATCACTAGCAGGCAGCTGCTCTATTACACAGAGGAAAAGTTGCTACTTTATTTAGTTTTGTATTCTAGAAAATGTTGGCTAATAATAAAGGTTGATTTTATGCATTTAAATTATCATGTAACCTTTTATATTTGAAACATTACTTTGTCATTAGGTACTTTTTTCTACAAACACATTTTCTCTTTCAGTGTTTTGACAAAAAGGGGTGCATAATTTACTAGGAAACATTGAAAGCCAGTGGCAGTTTTAGCTTCTGTTTTTCTCCCCAAGTAAACTGGGAACTTAGCCACGTACTTGGACCCAATCGGGGTCAGAAGCTAAATGAGAATTAAAATCGAGATCGCGATCATACGGTGTCATTTCTGGTTATTTATAATTTTTCTTAGGTTTACGTTTTTTCTTGGTTTGTTTTTCTGTCTGGCGATTCCGTTTTTATGTTACCATTTGCCTACATCATTATCAAGGGAATTAATCCGAATACTAAACACGGCGATGATGCCTCCCGGGGGAGCAACCACACCGGAATCTACATAGAAATTCCTCAACAATGGTTTTTTTATTTATTGTCTTTGTTATATATTCATATATCATATATAATATTCCTTAAATAACCTGGGAAAATCATGCACATTGTTTCCATTGATGCTGCCAGTCAAAAAAACTGAAATATATTTGCCATTTTCGCTCTTTATGATTCAATGACCCAAGTGAGAAATATGGGATAAATAAATATTTGCAAATTCCTAGGAAATATTTCAGGTTCAAAGTGCTTGATTTGTATAAATAGGTTTTCGTATAATCATAAATGAATGAATGAATAATCAGATCCAATTGGACTCTTTGAATTTTCAGCTTAATTAATACTTCTTTCATTTTTTATTTCTTGTGTTTAGGTATTATAATTTTAGTCAGACTATTAGAAATCTGTGAAGGAGTCATTTCCGACCCTATAATCCATATATATTCTTGATCAGCATCAACAGGCGAATCTTTCTAGGCATGTAGGAAAGAAAAAATTTTGTTGTATTTTTTTCAATTTTTTGTCATTTAAATAAAAATAAAAATTGGTAAAATTTTTATTTTTTTTAAATTTTTAATTCAGTATGCAGATTTATTAATTTAATAAAAACTAACATAGGAAAGCTTTCCGAATGAAAATTAATGCTTTTTTGACTAAGTTATGAGTATTTTTAACTTTGATTTGTCGAACAAATTGTCAAATAAAAATATCAATGATTATCGATTCAAAGGTTAATTATAAGAATAATATTATATAATTTTCTAATACGTAATTTAATATAATTCTTTTAATAATAATTCCCAATGTCTCCAACCAATTTGCTACTGTTCCAATGGTAATTGGATGCCCTGACAACAATGTAGTAATTATATAATTAACTCGGCTCATCTTGCATTCTCCTCTCTCCGGTTGCTTTCATTGAGGCATTGAGGCATTCCCATTTCATGCCCTGAATGTGGGTCTCGATCATCCATTTATTATGATTATGCCTCGGCAACCAAATCCCACTCCGTCAGCTGGTCAGTATCAGATTACGCCCTGGGCTTTTAACGCCTTAACCATTCGAGCCATCCACAAAACTCTAACATGCAACAGTTGGCTGCTTTTGGGCTTAAGTGACTTTTGTGGATTGGCAACTTGTATTTCGATGCATTCTCGCCTTATTTATGCAAATCTCTTTGTAAAATATTTCCCACCTTAAATGCAGGCACTTAAATTGTTAAACATTCGACCCAATCACATGGCCAAACGTGTTGATGCGAGCGTACGTGTTAACCTTAAATATAAATAATGTCAAATTTGGCATGCAAATCCTTTAAATCAAACAAAGGGAATTGCAAAGGGCGGGTATGGGGCGTAACAAATAAGCCAAGGCCAATAAACGTCGGCAGGCGACACGCCAGCTGACAGCCAACTCTTTGGCATCCCCTCTCCCTCTTTGAGCCAACATACAATACATACAACCCAATCCCCACGGCAAGTACATCACAAAACAAATTGGAAAACATAAAATCAACAGAGCTAATAGTTCACTTAGGGGCGCAGAGCCGGCGACAAAAAGTACGCGACGAACCGAACAGCGCCCTTTAAAATTATATACTTAACAAGGCGAATAGTAAATACTCTTGGCTGGGAAATTGCTCTTTTTATTGAATAAAGAAGAAGGGTAATTTGTTGTATATTTAAATATATTTTTTAGATTTTTCCTGAATAGTATTAGGATGATTATTTATATTGGTATGGAATAGAGCTTCAGTATAACTTGGTTAAATATTCTTTTTTACCTTCACTTAGGGTACTCCCAGTCTGCGGCTGTCTTCGTGACAGTTGCCGGTGCTGGTTCTGCCTCTTTTGCTGTCAGGGCAAGATGGGTCTTTGGTCTCTGGTCTCTGGTCCCTGGTCCCTGGCTCGGATGACATAGTGGCACAGTTTTCCGTGTACGCGTTGCCGGCTCTTGGGGCTGGCCGTGTCTGCGACCGTAGAGAGCCCTTTCATATGCTCCCCTCCCCTCTTCCAGTCATATTGAGCCGATTTACTATTGAAAATAAAATTTTATTAGAATTCTCCACACTTTTTGTGTCTCCTACGAAACTCTGGGGGTTTCCCTTCATTGGCTCTCCTCTGGAGGTCTTCGTCATACCGCCTTTAAATGTGCAACGCTCTGACGACTTTTGGATTTGATGTGCGCAGCTTTTTACGACACTCAACACTAAGAGGAACGAAAAATTTTGTTTTTGATTTAAAACAAAAAGTGGGGAATTTTTTGCCGGCATACGCAGCTGTTGCTGCTGCTGCTGCTTCTGCCGCTAGTTTGAATAAATTTTTATTGCTTATTGGTTTTAGAAATTGCATATGGTACGGACGGAAAATGACCGGCGGATACAAAGCGGAAAATCATAATGACTCATAAATTCATAAGTGAAATGTATGAAACTTTGATTTGATTTGGGCCAGGCCAAAGCGTTTTATTTATTATGACTCCGCTCTCGACACTTTCGTGGGCATTTACATGAACCGCGCTCCGTCCACGCCCAAGTTTGCCGGCTAGGTTCCAATAATCGGCCGTACGTGCGTTCCATTCTAAGCAAAACAGCCGGAGTACAAGTATTATTCTGGTTCTGTGCCCGTGCCTCTCCGGGAGCCAGAGCCAGACAATTGCGTGTGCCTCTAGCCACAGACGAGGTCAGATCAGAAGCTCTGAAAACTGGAAACTGGATATGGTTGGAGTCATTTCAGGAATATCCTCACGATTCTTTATGTGAATATTCAACTTGAAACAATTTTAGGTGTCTATAAGCATATAATACAAAGTATATTTAACTTACTTTGATCTTGAACTTATTGAAAAATATCAAATTTTAATATATCTCTAGTTTATCCAACAGTTTCAGTTACTCTTCAGAAATGTAAGGATGTTCTTTGGGGGTTTTTAAATATATTATATTATTTTTAAAAATATTATTTTAACCTCTGCTGTATATATAAAAGCGGCACCTCACTCTGGACTGAAGGGGTCGCCTCTGACATTGGCCACGCGGTACGCAACGCGGTTCATGTTGCACGTGCTGGCGGCTTTCCGTCTGTGAACTGCATAAACGTTGCCTCATTATGTCAGGGAGCACATAGTGAGGAGGATGGAGCCCAGGGAGACGGCACAGAGAGGCATCCAGAATCGGCAGGAATTCGTATGTTAATGCTACAAAATCAAATTCCTCTTGGGGGGGATTGTTCAATTTGTAGAGCTGTTTGTTTTTTGCGCCTAATGATACCATTAAGTGGTCCGGGCAGATTGTTGAACAAGCTTCTCGAAGCTGGTAAAAGAATGATGTAAGTGCACGCATATGTGTAGAAAGCACTTGATGATTCGCAAGTAAATATATATATATTTTTTATATTACGAAAATATAATTCAGGAAGCTTGTCTCATTTCGGATAATTCTTTTTTGAGACGTGACGTTATTTGTTTCGGGGATCTGTGGAGTTTGTTACATTGTTAGCTTTCGATTTCAATGGAATTTTATTATCATTGCATGCCACATGTTAAGTTCTAAGGAATTAAACGATAAGGGTAATTTATAAGTTCTTGATTTCCTTCCTATTAGTTTGGCTTCTTAATATATTATTTAAAACCCTGAACAAATTGTTTATAAGCTTTTAAAAACGATAAAGCTAAGGCTTTCCATTAGATATAACGTTTAGAAAGTTTTTCCAAGTGTTTTTTTTCTCATTAATTCATATTTTACGACTTTTCCTATTAAGAGACACTCATAAAAGTATGTATGCTAAGTGCAGAAATTAAGATATGGATCAGAGTGGTTTTTCTATTATTTTATAAATATATTGTTGGAATTAAAAGCCATCCGATCGATGTATCATAATGATGACGAGTCATCGATTGCCGAAATGTTTTGGGTGAACTGTCAGCTGGTTAATTGAGACGAGAAAACACTTTTACTTAATGCTCACAATTGAAAGTAATTTGCATTCCAGACCCCAAGGAAAAGCAACAAAAAATAAATATAGAATGCGGCGTGAAAGTCACGACTCCAAATGTTATTTCTTGTCCGATTCTTGTTGCCTTAAGTCGCGCTTGATAAATATTAATTGTCCGCTGACAATTTGAGGTCAGCGGCATAGTTTCCGAATGTAAATTGTATCTGAGCCTTGTATCTATATCTATTGGGTAGCTGGCGCCCATTAATTGCGTTAGATTATGCACATATGGCAAGTGGAGTGGTCCGAAAGTGGCTTGGGAACTTCTCAAAAAAAAAAAACAAAATAAAACTGGCTCCGGTTTATCAGCTGCCCTTGGCCACGGGCAATTACACAATATATAGAAGCTGAGCTCACAAATGATTTATTGGCCGTGCGATTAGGGTCTTAACGGAGTCGAGTTGACAAAAATTGTATTTATGGGATCATGATTCACATTGATCTCTGACATGCCGCATTGACACAGTGCCCCTCATAAACAAAGTACTTTTAATCTTTGGTTCTTTTGGATTCTAGGTGTGTCTCTAAGTTTTGTAAGCAAGTTTACACGGCAAATAAAAATAGGCAATTATTATCTTATTAAAATAAAAAGTTATTCGAGTTTAAATAATTTGAATTGGTTTTAAAAGGCTTTTCCCAGAATTACAGACACATAGGCCTAAAAATATTTTTTCTATTCCCTTTTAAATAACTTTAAAGGATTTTCTCAGAATTATAGGCAAATAGGCCTACTCTGTGTGTGTAGGAATCTGCCATTCCTAATTACCAATATTTTTTGTAATCTCTTCAGCCGATCTGCCTGCCTTCGATCCCATCGAGTGACGCATAGTTCGTTCCGTTGAAGTCTGCGAATTTCGTTTAGCCAAAAGAAGACCGACCGCAGAGTTGTGGGGCTTCCAGCTGAACTATCTTCTGGGTGCGGGCGCTGGCTGGGATTGGGATTGTGAATGGGACAAGGGCCTGTGGTTGACTGGGGACTGCAGGGGTAATTACCGAACACTGGCCCCGCCAAGAGGGCCAAAAAACGTGCTGGGGTAACGGCAACGTCGCCTGGCTGCATATAATTTCAGCAGTGGCCAAGTGTACGACTCGTGTTACCAATATGTACATATGTATATACCCGGGGCCAATAATTGCGGGCGGCGCATAAAGTGTCTGGTCTGCGGTCGGTTTATTTCCACGCACAAGTGTCCGTTTGAGTGGAACTGTTTGTGGGCATAATTTGAACTGGCCACATTTGTGTATTGATTACAGATTGAAACGGAAGTTCCTCTTCAATCGAATCACTTTGAATAAATTCTGTTTGTGTATCTATTTTCTCATTTCAGCATTCCGGCTGTGGTCAATATGCGTCTACTAATGCTGATATTGGTTTTGATGAGTGCGCTGCTGGCACCAGTCCTGGGTTCCTTTGAATTTACAGGACAGTCTATCAAAGGTGGGTGTAATTGATATATATAAAAGATATTTTATTAATTAATGTGTTAATTTAAGTAAACATTTATACATCTTCATACAATAAAAGAGTCTATTTTTGGGCTACCAAATGTTCGATCATGTTCGAACGAAAAGTGTAGTATAGTGTAGGGGATTTTCAACTGCAATAAAGACTTTTCTTACAGATGCTCTGGCCGAGTACACGCTGACGGATATCATGAACAATAATCAATTTGCGGGCATCGAGTTCGGAGAGGCAGAGGATGGTTTTCCCGCTTTTCGTTTCCTTCAAACGGCAGACGTAAAGTCACCGTACCGCATGCTCTTGCCCGAGAAACTGTACGAGTTCGCCATCCTGATCACTTTCCGGCAGAGCTCACTGAAGGGCGGCTACCTGTTCAGTGTGGTCAACCCGCTGGACACTGTCGTTCAGCTGGGCGTCCACCTGTCGCCGGTGGTGAAGAACAGCTACAACGTATCGCTGGTCTATACGCAGGCGGACCAAAGCATTGGCCGCAAGTTGGCCAGCTTCGGTGTGGCTCATGTGCCGGACAAGTGGAACTCGATCGCTCTCCAGGTGCTCAGCGACAAGGTGTCCTTCTATTACGACTGTGAGCTGCGCAACACCACGCCAGTGCTCAGGGAACCCATCGAGTTGGTCTTTGACTCTGCCTCAACTCTATATATTGGCCAGGCGGGCTCCATTGTTGGTGGCAAGTTCGAGGTAAGTTCTGGCGGCGGCCAATTTGATTTTTTTACTTTGATCTATTTATCTATTTACAATAATTGCAAAGGGAATAATTTTCGAAACGCCAGCGAGTTGCTTAAGATCTTAATTGTAAGTGAAGAGGCTTTTTATTATCGATGAGGGTAGGGGGTTCAATTGCTCAATTGGATCTAATTACAAGGTTTCTTGTTTATTTATATAAATACCAGATTGAGTTTTATTTCCAAGTTTTTAATTCTAAGTAAATTTCTTGTTCTTGTGCAATGCCTGAGAGCTTTTCACCACTTTACTCTTTGGATTGCTTTGTAGTCACCCTTAAGGGGGTAGACCACCCTGAACGCATGAAAATTGGAGGGTTTTTCAAAAATTCACTTTGACTAAGTTATTGGGAATACAACTTTTTATTTATTAGTACATCAAAGTACATATGTTAAACTAAAAAATACTTATTGAAAGAAAAAAAAATATTTACGAACCTCGGAGATGTAGCCAGTCAAAAAACGAATTTTTTTTAAGGAATGGTCGGATGGTGTACATGCTGCACACCACATTTGTTATCCGAAATTCAAAAACAAAAATTTTTTAGAAGCTATATAAGTATGGCTATAGCATGACGTAGCCGTTTTTGGAAATAATTTTTTTGAGCAAATGGGAGCACTTTGAAAAAATTTATTTTTTTTTTAACAAAATTTTTGATTTAAAAATTTATAACTTTAAAACAAAAAAACATATCAAAAAAAATCCTACGTCATGCCATAGAGGGCATTATAGAGAAGCTGTGTAAAAAATTTGAAGAGAATCGGTCCGGCGGTTTTTGAGAAATCATGTACACCGTTTAAAAAAACGTTGTTTTGAGAAAAACGCAAAAGAAGATAAAGAAAGTACTCTACGGTATACCGGCAGCGCTCACTTCTAATGGCTATAGAATCCACAAGTAACAAGATATTTTTAAGCCCGATGTCTTAAAATGACCGTAAGAATATCGGCACCAAGATTGATTAAAAAAAAAAATTAGATTTTTAAAAAATGTCAGGGTGGTCTACCCCCTTAAGTGGCGCCATTTGGCCATCTGGCGGTGGAAATTGGCAGTCACTCAGCGTCCTTGCAACCCTCTTCGTATATTTTCCACTCAACTGATTTCACTCAAACGCTGAGCTCAAACTCAAAGAGCGCTCATGGGCTTGAGCCAGAGTGAGAACATTGCGTATACGCGCTGTGGGCACTCACTCGGTAGTGTTTGCTCTCTGGAAATTCAGCGCTCGGCGGGATTCAGCAGCCGAAGAGTCGAGCAAACCGAGGCGGCACGAGGCAGCCTGTGTTGTCTGTGGCACGAACAGATTGCTGTGATTTGATGGGGCTCCTTGGGCGGCGAGTGCGTTTACCTTTTCAGTTGCGTTCGCGTTTTCCAACAGTTCAGATGGCCACTCGGCCGGGTCTAAGATGAACTTCTCGTTGCCGCCGTGCTGTCGGTCCACGTCTAGGCACTCTGCCTCGTCCTCGTCCTGGTCTTCGTCTTCGTCCTGCTCGTCTTCGTCCTGCCGCTTTCCGGACGTCGTGAGTGGCACTACAACGCATACGATTACGGCTACGGCTACTATAACAGCAGCAGCGAAAACAACTGCAAATGAAGCCCTTGTGCTGGCTTAGCCGCAAAAAATGAAAGTGATTTATTTGGCCGAATGAAATATGTTTGCCTAAGTGAACCAAAGTGACTGGCCCGGGAATCGAGTCAATTAAAATTCAATTATGCGACCAAAGATGAAGGAGAGGCCGCGCAAGCGTTTGAAAATTCGATCGCTGAACTCCTGAACTGAATCCGTAAACCAAAGCTGCCGCACAAGTGTTCCATGCCCCCCCGAGAATTATATCCTGGCAATCGATCATATCACTAAAGAACGCACATATCGCGAATGGGAGACAGTCCCCAAGGATATCAAAGCCAGATATCAGACTAGCAAATTACTTTTACCCTTGTTATACCAATTGCAATTGTTATATCGCGTCGTCGTCGTTGTCGTTGTTTTATTTCGCGAGAAATCCGTCAGGAACTCAGCTCTGAAGTGGAGGAGAAGGCAAACTAAACCCAAGCACAGTCACTGTCCAACTCCCCACCAGACACACAAAAACACAAAATATCTGCACTCTGCGAGCTTGTTCGAATGGAAATCAATCAATTGCACAATGCCATAGTGCATGTGGTGTGAAAAAGTAAATTAATTGCACAGCACGACGTCAAAGCTAAGAAACACACCGGAACGGTCGTCGATTAAACGATAAATAAAAAAAATTAAATTACATAGCGAGAAGTACAATAACGAGAAACCGAAGGCACATAACATGTGTGCTGTCATTTGTAATTACAAATGAGCCCAAATAAATCGCATACATAATTCACAATAACAATAAATTTTAAAAGCAAAACTCATACCTATAAATAAAGCAAAGTATTTGCAATTAAATTATCTGTGATTTTTGTCAACATATTCAATATTTTTGCCACCGCGCGCGCGTGCATAAACCCAGTTTAACCCTTAAACGTATTACGTTGCATATCCCGCATATCGCAAATCCCATAATTTAAAGTGACTGACTAGTGAGATCCCAGTGCGTACGTTGTTCGTTTGGCTTGAAGGTAAATATGGCCGGATGGAATAAGGGCCCCTTCGCACACACAAATGGTTTGGAATGTCGCCCCATCAAATTGAACACGGTTCGCGCATAAATTATGACAAGCTGGCCCAGGTCAAAGCCCAACATAGTCCTGGCTATATGAACAGGATATAGGATATAGGATATAGGGGGTTCCCTTCGAATTGGCTGGCGCGCCTAAATCAATGGCAAACTCATTAAAGCGCCAGAGAAAACTGTTTTCGCCCGACGCGTCACTAACCACAGAACAGAGTTGGCGTTTTTCCTCATATCCCAGATACCATTTCCCACTCGTCACACTCGTTCCACTTTCCATTTGCCCAACTTCCCACCCATCGCTCCTGCATATGCATATTAAAGCAGCACAGGGCGTATGCGTAATATGTATACATTTATAATACTGTGGGCTGGCCGCCCGCCTTTTGTCTTTGCCTTCGCCCGTTCGGCATTCGGCATTCGGCGTTCCTCGTTCTTCGCATATGGCCGAAGGGCAAAAGGAAAATACGTTTTATTTATTAAATAAAAACACTGGCAAGCGATGGCTGCCGCGGTCTGGATTTTAATGGGCGTCGGGGGTTGGATGAAACAAAGGGCCCAGTACGGCCTCGTGAGCATAAAGCGAAAGTTAACCCTTCAAAAGACTAGACGGCTATCACGGCTTCAACTTTAAAATCCTTGGCCATTTCACTAGCATTTAATTGCACATGGTGATGACCTCACAGCGCAGAGCAGCAAGTTTGCAGAAAATTTCAATTACAAAACAAACTTTCCTCTGCAAATTCTCTCGGCCTAAGTGATCATAAATATTCATGCACCGCCATCTCTGTGTGTGTTTGTGGCTAATATGCATTTAAATATCAAAAGTCTGATTGTTTTGTTTTTGTCGTTTGCAGCGTTGACTTCCATCATTCCTCGTAATATGTAATTTTGATTCGTAAATTTATCAATTTATCATCATAATGCAATATTACAGGCCATTATGCCGACACAATTTCGAAATTCAATTTGAAATGTTTATTTACATATCAGGGGCCAACAACTCCCACTCGATTGTGTTTGGAAATTAGTTTTCGACTAAACACTCACTCATGTCCTGGCCCATCAAAAGCATACGTTGGCTTGCATGAAATTGACCAGTTTATATTGTTTTGTTAGTTCATAGTTGGTCAATATGATGCATGTAGAAAAAAAATATATACAAAAGAGTTTGGTTTAAAAAATAATTGCTTTGCTATTTTCATTGGAAATATGTTTATACTTTGTTATTGTTTGTGGCATTCTTAACTAGGCCAAGTTCTTGGGTTACATTTAAAAGCTTTGTTGAAAAAGTTTGTTGCTGATTTTTTTATATTTAAAAGCATTGCAAATCATAAACAGCATTTTATTTCTATTTCGTTTAATTTTTCGACCTAAAAGGATTTAAATAGATTTAAAAACAAATAAAATAAAAAGTACTGTAAATTTGTGAGTACTTGTGTTGAAAAAAACATGTTGCTCAAATGCTTAATAAAAGTGTTACTGCATTATATTTTGGAACAAGTTAGAACATTTGTTAACTCAACGACTTTGAGGCTGACTTGTGCATTTTCTAATAAATAAATTATTGTCGAATTCCTTGACTTTGATTACTTTTCCATCATTTTACGATATAGATCCCTTTTTCAGTATTCATTTACCGCATTTATTTCTGCTTGAAGAACGGCCATGAGTTATTTTTTTTTACTCCCAAAAACCCGAACACATGTATGGTACCTTTTGTATTTATTCCCATAAATGGATTTTTTATTACGTCTAGAGCTGCAGGTCGTTAAAGTCGTACATATTCGGGCGCCTATTTTATGAACATTGGTGGGTCTGGTGGGCTGCTGAGGCTCTGGCAACCACATAAAACCCTTACAAAAATGCGAACTGAACGGAAATGTCTTTGATGGCACGAGAGTATGGGGGATGGTATAACGACAAACTATGATTATTTTGTAATTTTATGGCTACCCCAAGGCGAGAGGCGGAAATCCATACCAACCAATGGGGCGTCACCAATAAACATAAATTATGCAAATTTTTGACTTTAATTATACGAGCTGATAGCAACGCCCTACATTCCATTCCCCAAAACCCATATCCCTCATCCGTGTGTGCCCGATTATTTGGGTTGTTATTAATTAAGCTGAGACTTCATGAGCGCGTTTTAATCATTGGGAACACGCGTCCCCGTTCCCACCAACGTGGCCCCTATATGGATAGGGGATAACATGGGTTCTAGGAGCTGGAGGCAGGACGGAGGAGGAGCTGTCAGGCCGTTTCTGCTTATCGATCAAACCTTCACAGAAATCACAGAAGCCTGAGGTTACACATTAGACATTTCTTCCAGTGACGTTTTGTTTTGTTCCGCCTTCATATTAAGGATACATGTGTGACACATTCCTCCCCCCCACCATACCGACCTTGTCACTGATAACTGCACACAAAGGCCTACAGAAAATAGGAAGTTTGTGCGGAAAACGGTGCTTATTAAAAATTACATGTCAAACGGAAAACCAGCACAGGAAACCCAAAAAAAAAGACACACAATGAAAAGAACAAGAAAAGAAAAAGTCAGATGGTTTCAGATATATTTATTAGCAAGCTAAACCTCAAACATTTTATTCTTAATTCAAATGCGATTTCTGTTAGCTGAAAAATATTATATTTAATTCCTAAAATACATGGTTAATGTTCTTATACTTTTTATTCTCTGTGCACACACACTTACGAGATGAGTTGGCATAAACCTTTTGGTTTTTGGGCGTTGGTGAGGAAGAACCCTTTTTAAATATGTCGCCCCATTATCTTCATTAGGCGCTAATGTCCGAAAAAAGGTTTTTCCCCCAACTATGTATATTCCCCCTTTTTGGAAACTTTCTTTTTCCCCTGGCTGGATTTAACTTTTTGGCTACCATGACAACTTCAAAAGTCGTTACTCATTTCTGTGTACTTAATTTGGTAAAAGATATGAAATTTCCTTCTTATCGCACTCCACTGTCCTTTTTTGTGTGCTATTTTTTTTTTTACGTTCGTCCTGTTTAAGGAGCAGCAGCCAGCTTGCCCCTTTTCATTAAAAGTAGGACCGAGGACCAAAGGAGATGGTAATTTCATTAGAAAACTTGAACCGCGTCAAACTTTAAGCTTAAACTCGGCTTGTATGCCTGCAGTCGCAGAATTTTAATGCCGCGTGAAGAATGCCAAGTTAGCAGGAGTCAGGACTCAGGACGCAGGACGCAGGAGGTGAATGAAGGGATTCCGAGGTGTGGGCCAGTCGCTTGACTTGGCATAAAAAAAGTTTCTTTTTGGCTTCCACTTCCACTTTTGGGGGGCACACAAAAAGTTTGTGTTACGCCGCCATCGCCGCCGCCGCCGACTCGTTGACTCAATAACTGGTTGGTTTTTGGGCCCCTCCTTTACCCCTGAAGAAGGCCCTAAGGCGGAGCTGAATAGAGGCCGTGTTGCCGGTATTTTTTGGGGGGGTATGGGCGTGGCCGGGTGTTAAAGACTTAAGGTGAGCGCATGGACGCTGCTGCTGCTTGTGGCTCCAGACTGACACGATTATCGTAATTATGCGCTGGCTGTAGCTGTAGCATACTTTTGTGAGCCAACTCTTAGCCTCGTAATAAGTTGTTGTTGTGTGGGTGTATCTCTCTCTCTCGGAGGGTGTGATTGCGAGTGTGTGAGTGTGCGTTGGCCCAACTTTTGCCGCAATTATGTAGGTTGGCAAAAGTTGCTTCTCGCTTTTTATTTTTATTTTTATTTTACTTTCATTTTTTTCGGGGGTGCACTGGCTCAAGGACACGCTCATAACCCGCTGCGAAACATTCGGCTTATGCCTTTATGCGGTTGCCAAAAGAAAAAAAGAAACAGAAAATCCTGGAAAGTGAAGAGGTCCTGGAGCAAGACATCTTGCGAACATGTGACCAATTTTGAGAGCTGCCTTCATTCTATGCCTTTGACGTTGCTATAATTCAATATTTTTTCCAAATAAACTTGTTGGCAGCTTAACTTTTCGTAAAGTTTACTTCAAGTGCTACCCCCTGACATGCAGGATTAAAAGGGGCTTAACTTTGAAATTAAATTGTTGTATAAAAAAATTAATTTATCAAAGCTTTAAAAATTTAAATATATTTTATAATTAATTTAAAAATTAAAAGATATTTTATTCACCCCTTTAAATGCTTTATATTTTACATGAATTTCAAGTTAGTTTATTCAAGTGTGTGAAAGTTCAAATCTCCACAAAATCCCCATTTTTACAGGGTGTCAACAAGCCCTTTCCACGCTTTCGGCCATATTTTTCAGCCGCCACCCTTGGCGCCGCAAATCAGTGAGAAAATGCTGACAAGCGACGGGTGGAAGGCACAGAAGAAAAAAAAAAAGAAAAACGGGAAGCAGAATTAAATAAAACGTATTACATTTGTAGCGTTTACAGGAAGTGAGCGTGAGGGTCGGGGGTCCTTGGTCGAGTGCCTGTTAAGGGGCGTGTGTTTATGTGTGTGTGTGTGTGTGCGTGGGAGCGAGCTCCTTACACAATACTTGTACATGTGTGAGTGCTTGTGGCATGTGTACAAAAACGCTTTGTGGCGATGGAAAGCACCTTCCTTCCTCCGGGCAAACATCTTGCGCCAAGCCAAGGAGGGGAGTTCGCAAGGTTAATACTTGGCCACAAAAGCCATTAGGCATCAGCATCACAGCCAGCAATATCCCTAAGCCAAAGTCCAGCCGGGTCAAATACACTTGCCGACATCTCAATAATCAGAGATGTGAAATATATGGCTAGTTGTACCAAGGATTAGGTACCTATTTTCCTTTTAACTTATACAAGGAAATCTCAACCGGAAGTTAATTTAATGCTTAATCTGAGGTGTTGTCTAAAGTTGGATATATTTTTGGATTAGCTGGTTCCTATCGTAAATACATATGTTTTCAACTTAAAACCCCTTAAGGTGTATTTCCATTAACGAGATCTGCTGTATTTGCAATTTACAAGTTTAGTACACAAGTGTCCGCGACATGGTTGATTTATGTAACCCATGTTACTTTTAATATGTTTCAAAATAAATTGTACCTTTCCCAGCACTGTGACCAGCGAAAACGAACCCCAGATCGAAGTAGAACCAAAATCCAAACCATTTTGTGCGACGGTGGCAAAAGCAATATACCCACCCTCAGCTAATTAATATTCCAATTTATGCATTTTCTTTCAGGCAATTCGATTCGTCGTCGTCGGTTTTTCCGTTTGTTCGCGTTCGCGTTGATTTCGTAGTGGCATAAGTGTTGTATATCGAATCGGTGTCGGTGTCGGGACGTGTAAATATCGTACAAAATGGCAATGGTTATATCGACGCGTGCCAAGCTCGTGATTACCGCGCTGATTCTATTCTTCCTGCTCGGCATCGTCCTTGTGACGGGCTCCACGAAGGGATGGTTCAATCCCAACCGCTACAACGGCGAGCGGGTGGCAGCTAGGATTCAGGTAACTAACCCCAACTAAAAACCAAACCCCCAGACCTCGAACCGCAACAAGTTTTCAGGGTTTGCGTTTAAACCGAATGGCATTTCAGACTAATTAAAAAGAACTAGCCAATTAATTATAATCATAATCAACACGTGTCTGGCGGTGCTTGCCGTTTCATTTTTTTTCCAACCGCTTTATGGGCCCCGTTGACGCCGCCAAGCATCTGAACATTACGAACTGTGTAATGGGAGTGTGTAATGTGTAATGCTAAATGCTTGACATCCTGCCGGCCTGCCCCTTTAAATGCAAACAAATGTCACCGCAGTGAGGCGAATTCCAGGGCTGGGATTGCCTTTGCTCCGCCAGTGACCAGGATGGGAGAGGTGGAGGGTCACTTGATGGGTCGGGGCTAAGGCCGTATCGCGGCTTATGCGCTTCCAACACGCACATACACACCAAACACACCGAACACACACACACACACCGAGAACTAACAGCCAGCACCCACAACAAGTTAGGGAAACTTTTAAACACAAACTGGCAAACATCCTCGCAGTCACAGCAAAGCGAAGAGCAAATAAAGCATGCGAGGATATACACAGGAAATAAATATTTACGCAACGAAATAGTTACTTGATGTATTTACAGTATATTACTTTAATTAAATTTGCAAGATCTTATTTAATTTTTAGTTTATAGAGCGGAGGACAAGTAGTAATGAACAAAATCTTAAAAACATCTTTTAATAACATTGAATTATGTAGTTGCAACCAATATATAAAGCTGATAAAAACTATTTAACACCATTTTATTTCTTCCTGTGGATATATACCTGCACTACACGAAAACAAATAAAGTTTATTGTGACAAATGTTTCATGACAACAGCACATTTCGCTCTGGCCGAGCACACCTGCCGCCTCCCCTTTACCTGTGTCGACCCCCAGGTGAGGAGAGACCTCTGCTGTTGTTGTTTGCGGAGCGTATAAATAAAAAGCCATTGCAATTATTAGAGCACATTATAAGCATTTTGTTGCCGGCGCTCGGTCACAAGATAAATTGATAAACCTGACACGGGTCTGCTGCTCACCTGTCCCGTAACAAGCTGGGGTTAAGTTTTGCTTGGTTTTTTATTATTGTCCAACATGGCGTATACGCAATGCGAGTTTTTGCCACTCTTTTGCGAAATCCATTCGGTGAGTGGGTGGAGTATTTTTGTTGTCTAAAATGTTAGATGATATTCTATCAAAGGGGTTTTATTTACTGGTCCCATTAATGGACTTTGGTTGTTTACTCACAATTTTTAAGAGGTGAAGTGATCCTAGTAATTATTTGTGGCTCGTAAAATATTGAAGCTTTTAAAATTTGTAGTGTTGATAATTATACATTTGTAATATTTATTCTATAACAAGCTTGTATCTTTCTTTCTCTGTAACATAGAAATATATTTAAATTATAGACTGCCTAGTTACAAGTTCATTTCCCTAGAAAGTTGTACAAGTTCGTTATAATTTAAACAAATAATGGTCCCTGTAAAGGTCCCAACAGAAAAAAAGAGCAAAAGGCTTCTTTCGGTTCCCCTGTTAATACAATCGCTTCTTTCGTGTCAAACGCTTCTCCTCCGTTTGTTTCCGCCCCGAAGGACCTGCCCCAAAGGACCTACCAATCGGGGCCCCACAATACGAGCAAACTTCGACTAATACCTGCATAATTGTTGTGCTAATTTTGTCAGCACGCCCAGTTAATGTTTCTATTGACACCCGCAGGATGGCGAAGGCAATGGTGGCGGCGGCAACGGGAGGTGCTTGGTGGTGTGAGGTGGGTAGGTCCTGGGCTGGGCCGGGATGTTCTTCCCTATAGTTGCACTGCTTTGACATTATTTACGCTTACTTATGGGTTTGGCTCGCTCTCACCTGCCTTGCCCCCCCTCTCCGTTCGGACTCTGAAAACAGTGATTAAACTAATTTTATGCAGCAGCGAAACGGGACGAGGGCGACAACAAGGATACAGGGAGGAAAAGGCGTAAAGAGTGAGAAAAGTGAGAAAAGCTAGCAAATGGCGAGGGGCGAGGCAATAAAAAACCATTTAAAACATTCAAAGTGTCGCATGAGAACGGGCAAAGTGAATGTCGACAAGCGTTAACGGGCTGACTTCGATATAGAAACCTAGTCCCGGCGACTAGCTCTAGTTTTCCATTTAAATGCAGAGAGAAAAATTATATCAAATATATATAATTAAAACTTCTTAAAGAATAAGAAGTCACATCTTAATATCTTAGTATTTTGCTTTACTTTAAAATTTATAAAATGTATGTATATAGTTTTTGTCACTCTTACTTTTATATAATTTCTCTCAGTGCCTTACCAAATGTATGTGGTGAATGGGAAAAAGGAAAACGAGCCCAACAACCAAAGAAACAAAGTTTAGCAATAAAAAATCTAAAAACGGAGAACCAACGGGAGAGCGTGGGGTAAAGTCGTTCTGTTAATAAAGCCGTTTCTGCATGGGCTGTCTCACCTGTCTCACCTGGCACCTCCCACCGCCAACCCCCTCTCCCTAGTCTGAAACAGGCAATGGGTTCATTAGCAGTGGCTTACATTACAACAGTTCCTTGGGAGCCGTGGTTGTTGCCGCTATTTTCCTAGTTTCCTTGCCGCTGTTAATTACAAGCCTGGATGGGGCTGAGGGAAAATCGGTGGGTTGGCAAGAAAAGAATGGAGCTTGCGACTGCCGAACAATTGGAAATTTATAAAAATTACACGTAGATTGACAGGCAATTTGTCCTTTACCTAATACGAGGTGGTTATCCACCGCCAAAGGCAGTTGGCTTATTGACTGATTCCCCGAAACTGCCGCGGTCGCGATGTGTGGTTTGGCTGGCTGGCTGTTGAGGAAGGTCTATTAGGTTTCATTAGCGCCTAATTACCCCAAAAGCGAAATTAGTCGAAAAGCCAATTATAGTTAATGCATTTAGCGATTCGTTGAGTCGTCGACAGTCGTTTGGACATTTATGAGCTGCCAACCATTGTGTGTTACCGCCTGTCTGTCTGTCTGTCGTTGGATCTCATTTATTTGCTGCGCAATTCCAATTAATAAAGGACTGCCAAAGGAACAGCCCACACTTACTCCATATCGACACATTCCTGGTAGAATAGAGTAGAAACAAAGTAGCCAGCCATTAGCATTAACTCACTACCCACACCATGTATCTACGTCTCGATTGAGCAATAAAAAACTACCGGAAAAGCATTCCTTTAGATTTTCCCCACACATGTGTGTGTGAGTGCATTCGTGGCTGGCAATAAATAATGAAAATATCCGAGTACCTCAGAAGCAGCAAAGTTTTCCATCTAACCCACAAACAAAATACTGTGTAAAATGCAAGGAAACGAATTCTAGTTTCCTAGTAAATAAGACCAAAGTTTGTTGTATGTTTTTCTAAATTAAATTTCCCAAGTTCTCAACTATCTTTAATTTCTTAAAGGCAGTTTCTTAAATGCCAGCAATTCCATACAAGTAAATGGTCTGAAAATTGCTTTTCACACAAAATAAAGAGACTCGAGACTCGAGCTGTGGACGATTCCCATATTCATGAGTGTCATGCTCAGGAAATTTCAAATCTAATCCCCATATACACATTCCTGATGTGAATAAATTCCGAAAGGCAAAACATTAAATATTGAACAACTCTTCGTACATTTGATTTATGAAAACATATTACCCCCTTTGCTATCCAGCAAAGGGAAACACTAACACACTGCCGGAGCAAAGCATACGGCGGATACGGATATTTGTGAAAGCTTCTTCCACGGGCTGGGAATAAGCATATGAAAAACTAGCTTCCGTTACGTTTATGATAATATTTTATTAAAGCGCAGCATGCCACTATAACTACGGGTTAGCAGGCAAATGGAAGCGAGTTGCACGCACCCAAGGAACTGGAGAGCCTTGAAGCCTGTGGAACTGTGGAGTTTGGAGGCAACTCGGAACTCGCAAGTCGAAAGTCGATGACGATGTCGACACGCCCCACCAAGCGTTCGTAATAAATTTATTATTGTGCTGCGCCAGAAGTTCGAGTTCGAGGACGGTGGAAAGTCGCATTTTCGATGGCATAGATAAGCGAAAAGTTTCCCTCGACTTGTGCGGTTTTGTCAGTGAGATAGTAGGCACAACAAAGTTTCGTTATCTGAACTTGTTGCATTGACAACCTGCACCAGATGACATTCCCTTTTGGTTGCAACTGAGCAGGATGAGGCTACATTTTTTTTGAAAGAAAAATAAACTTGATCTAAGAAAATTAAAGGTTCCAAAATTAACTATATATTATATACTTCCTTGACTTTAAAAGGAAAAACTAAGAGTCCAATCTTTAATCGATTTTCTATTCCGTCAAGGAAAAATTACTCAAAAAATCTTATATTCGGATCTTGAAAACATAATTCTTGAACTTAAAAACATTTCCTGAATAGTTTAAAATATATTTAAAGCTAATTTATATTCCCAGTGTAGATGTTGATAAGCAGCATGTTAATTCCGCGACTTTTCACCACGGATGCATCTGCTGCTGAGTGTGCAGCACTTTTCCCGCTGCTCTGCAAATTGGATGCAGTGCAGCCCTCCGGAGTCTGAACTGAACTGCAGTTTGGCAAGCGTGTTGACAACCGCCACGCACTTCGATGCCCCAGGGGTCGCATTCGGAGCGACAGGGCTGGGGATCGAGACTTGGGGCCTTCGGTCTAAAGATATGTGTCTGGTTATATACCAAGGATATACCTTTCCCACCGCCGCAATATAAATAGCACTGATTTGTGCTAACAAATACGGAGCGGTGGCTGTCGCTATCTGCTATCTTGCGACTTGCTGCCAGCCCGAAAGTTAAGCCAACCAACCATACAACCCATTTGTTTATTATGAAAATACGGGCTGGTTTGGTCTCGAGAGTGGGTCTTCGTATCGTCGTTCTCTATGTGTGTGGTGTGTGTGTGAGCGAGTGTAAGGGGGTGTGGATTTTCGTTGGTGTGTAAGTGTATGAGAGCTGCCCACAAAAACCTTAAACTGATGACACACTTCACATGGAGGTTTCTGCCTCTGGCTCTCCGGTTCTGGTACTTTTTTCGTTGCCGTGTGCCCGTTGCTCAGTTACAGAGAAAGAAAATTTGGCATATACGAGGGAAAATATTATAATTTAGCCCTATTAACTAACTTATTAAGTACGGGAAAGTTGAAAATTATAGAATTGAAAAGAGTGGAATGCAAGTAAGAACTATTTTAAGGAACAATATAAAGGTTTTCAGGGACTTATTCATTATTTTCTTCTCAACTTTCTTCAGTTGATTTAAGAAAGTTGGAAATTATAGAATTGGGAAGAGTGGTAACAATTATTTATAGGTTTTCAGTGACTTATTCAGATGAATCTTTTAATAAAATCTTTTAGGCTTCTTAACTTTCTTCATTTGATTTAAGATTATTAATTTGCAAAATGTTTTCCCCAGTGTACCCCATAGCCGGCTTTCGGTGCTGCATTTCCGCTTGAATGGCGTCTGTGCTCGGAGCAACTAACAGCCCATTGACAAGGGGCCGTTGGTCTGGTGGGTGGATTGCTGACTTGGGGCGTATCCGTATCCCTATCCACCCGGACTGGGGGCGGCGGTGGGGTAAGTGTGTCACCACACACGACCACGTAACTGAAAGGCATACTTACCGTTTTAAAACTGTGCTGCTCTGTACATGGCACACTACTATATTGACTTTGAAGCATAAAAAGCTTTCCCAGATACTCCAATACACTGGAGGCGAACACTCTTTATTACTGCCCCATCGCCGGCGGAGTCATGTATCTGTGTCTGTAACGTGGCATGAGTCCGGGTATATGGAACAAAGGAAATGTTGGAAGCTATGCCTTGGGAATAAACGAGAAGATGACTTCCTGATCGGACCGGCTTAGCGCTGGGCCTTATCTACGGCTCCGAATCGAAGTGGTCCCTGGTGGAGCTCAGTATGAGGTTCAATAGCGGCTTCCTCCTTCGTTTCCACGGGAACATTGAAAAGGGCACAAAAATCTCTAATGTAGTTCCTTAGACCTGCGATTCGTGTCTGGAACTGCACAAATGTGCGTTCATCGAAGATCTTCACCTTAATTCGATCGGCAGTGTCCAGAGTTTGGGCAGCCATGTCATGGAGGATTCGACGATCTTCAAGGATTCTAGTGCAGAAGCGACTAAAGTTGGTCACAAAGTTAATGAGGTCTTCTATCAGTTCCTCCACCAGGCAAAACTTTTTAGTTTTAGTCTTTACGTTTTTGGGTTTTGCTGCTAAATAGGCATGGTCAAGTTTTTTACGGATCGATTTTAGATCCTCGGGCAATCCTTTTAAGGCATTTTGAGTTAGGACCAGGAAGCCCTTGAAACAGAGAGGGATTTATTAATTAAATAAGAGTTTTAATCTATAAATAATTTATTAGTACTTACATTCATATCGCTAATGGCATGAAATTCGGAGAATATCTCATAATCTGGCCACCAGTCCTCGGATTCGTCGTCGTAATAATCTCGCGTGGCCGATATTATGCGGGCCCCTAGAATCTGTCGAAGTTGAGCTAGTTTTGGCTTCATCACCTCAACAATTAGTTTACGAAGCTGAGAGATCTCCTCGCTGCCTTTGGTATTTTTAGGAACTGGCTTCAGCAGTTTATATTGATTATTTGTGGTATCCATTGGAAGTTAAGTAAATAAGAAATTGGGGGATAGTTGGAAATGGGAAAGTATTGATTTTGAGGGTTTCTTATTTTCTATAGTAACATTTTAAGTTATGCTATTAACTTAAATTTCAAAGAATATATGACTCACTCTTGCTTCCTTCCGTAGTTTTCGACTTCCCCTTTTCAAATGTATCTCGAGTGGTAAATAATTTGCTGTTGCTGCAGCTGCCTCAGGAGGACGGTTTACGCTGCGTATACGCAACGTTGTCACAGTCTGTTTGCTTTGGGTTTATAAAACTGTCTAAATCAACACACAAACACACAACACTCACGCTGGCACATAAACACACTGACAAATCTTAAACACACACATAACGTGTTGGTTTATGCGCAATGGGAGTTTTAATTTTTATTTTGTTTTTTGGTTAAAACACAAAATGTGAGCTCGTTTCTCGTTTTAAACTAATTGTAGAAGGCAGTTAAAACCAACAATGAAATGCCATGGCTGTCCTTTGCCTCTGGGCTATTTTGTTGGGTCACAAAAACATAAATATGAAAGTAAAAACATTCTAATGAATTAATTAAGTGAAAAATATAGCCACTGCATTTAATATCTTTTTATGTTATGACTTAACTAGTTATACATAGCAGGTGTAAATACTGGATGTATTTTTGTAGATTTAAATTAATTGATTTATATTGATTTCTTTGGCTTATTATTGTTTTATTCATTTCAAAGGGTGTATAATTGATATTTTTAAATTTATTTATTTATAAGTGTATTTCATTTTTGAATATATATTCTTAAGATTAATTAACAACTTTATCTTGTCTCTGCCAGGTGTGCGTAACTCAATTAACTACATTTTGTATGAGCAATTTAAAATCCGTTTCGCATTTGCTAAAAACCATAAGCTTTCATCTCCCCCAGCTGAGCTTCCAAAACTCTTCTGCTGCAGTTGGTATAAATATATAAATATATATATATATCCTTATATATATATATATCTGTGTGTGTGTGAGTGTCTCTATTCCCCCAGATAAACAGGCTGCCGGATAGGCACTGTGACAGAAAGACAAAGTGACTGAGAGACCGAGAGACAGACGCTTTTCTGCAAAAACGTTGGCGCAAAAACTTTTCGAGATTTGTGTCAGCTCGTTTGAGAATTAGTCGTAGGTTTTTAGCAAAATTAAAAAAAATCTGTCACTATGCGGTTGGCATTTGCCGTCTCATTGTTTTTTTGGTCCCCTGACGGGGGACCGTCACCCAACCCCACCGCCTCTTGGCTTTTCCACCCATTTCCACATCTTCTTTCCCAGGCTCCTTTTCGGTTACAGTTTATGTTTCCGTTTCTGTTTCTCTGCCAGTATTTAGATAGTCACTTCTGTTTGCTGTTCACGGGCAACCCTTATTTTAAAACAATAGTATTTAAGGGTATTTTAAAAGTGTTAATTAAGTCAAATAATTCATTGAGGCATCGGGTAATTATTTAAATTAATCAGAAACAAGGATAAGGGCTTTCTTAATGGAACAAATCACGACAAAAAAAACCTAAACCTAATCTTTATATATATCTTATATATTATCCTTGACAAACTTTAGACATTTTCTTGGCAAACCATCTTCAATGCCACTATTTTTCATATCCCACTGTACATTTATCCTGAAAATCCGTATGTGAACGAGGTTTCGTATCCCCGTTTTGCATTATGTGCTCTCTGTGCTTTAATGTGACTATGTCTTAAATAATTTATGTGCCGCAAAATGTGCAAAGTAATTTATTCTGATTATATGCAAAACAAAAAAAAAGAAACACAGAACGGGCAAGCAAAAAAATGAAAATGGGCATCAAATAAAATGTGAAACGGCCGCCAAGTGTCAAAAAAAGAGCGCTAAAGTCAAGTGTAGAGTAAAGAGAATTAAGTCCTGCACCTGGGCACACACCGCCTTATTTTTGGCCTTTTCCGTGAAGTTCGCCTCCTGAAAGCGGGCGGACCGTAAAAATTTATGTTGCTATAATTTAGCTTTAAAATCGCGCCAAACCTCAGCCCAGCTCATCCGAACGTTGAAAAGTGGCAACGAGAGGGGGCGGCACGCATTTAAACGGAAATAAAATAAAATTACAAAAAGTGCGCAACTTTTTGACGTTGCGATTGTTATCCTCGTTTCGGTCGCTCCACTGTTTTCCTTTTTTTTTATATATTTTTTTTTTTGCGGAGGGGCCGAAACGGCTGTCAGAAAGTGATTTAGAAACTATGCTATGACCCGGGTAAGGTACCTTTGGCCAGGTCGAGTTCCGTGCTCCCTGCTCCGCTCCGAGCTTGAAGCTCCAAGTTCCCAGCTCAAAGCTGAATCTACCCAGACACCATTTGGCATTTGTTTGTTGTCGACTGTCGGCCCTGTCGGCCGCCTGTCGTTTGGCGGCTATAACGTTGAATTTAAATTCAGCATTTTCGGTATTCGCCACCCTCCTTTCCAATTCCCAATTCCAATTGCCATGGCCATTCGTGAGGCGATTGGAATACCTTGGAATGAATTGAAATTCAATTGTTTGCACATTTCTGCGGCCAGCTAATTGAAGCCAAATTCCTGCTCCAAATTGCTTGTATTTATCCCGGGAGTTGAGCGCTAAATACGCATAACTTATACGTACATATATAGTTTTTGCCGCTCGGAAAGTCGCTGGCAAATATGCTGAAAATGTCAAAACGTCGTTTACATATTTAATGCGCTCTAACAGGCTTAATCAACATTACAAAGTAATTAGAGTTAATTCTTTTGTACTTGAGAGCACGCCAGAGCCAGAAACGAGCACAGACACCTGACAGAAGGCACAAGAGCACTCAAAGAAATGTTTCTAATAGTATGAAGATTATGAAAATAGATTGCGAAAAAGGTTTCTCAACATTTTAACATTTAACTAGAGTTTTAAAGTGAACAAATTTCTCAAAGAAGTAATTTTCATATATATATCTTTAATATATAAAATTCATTCTATAAAAAACCCACTTGAAATTATATTTATTAATACAAATTTAATAGATAATCTCCCAGTTTCTCCTTGTGTATGATACCACAAGTAGGAGCTGGCACAGGTAGTCAGTCGCAGTCAAAGTGCTTACGCATGTAACCGGTGACACAGCGACACTGAAACTGATGACGATGAAAATGAGGATGACGATGCCAATGATGACGATGATGACGATGACTGAGAATACCCGTATCTGTAAACTGTTGCGCGGCAATTTGCATGGTTAATTATCTATTAACTTGGGCATAACTTTTTCGGGGGTGCGAGTGCAGTGGCAGTGGCAGGATTCGGGGAGTTTCCCCAAAAGCAGCGCTATACAAATGCAGATACACAAATACTCTCGCAGATATACAAACACAAATACAGGACACACGCAGGCGAATTAGAAGCCACCGACTGTGTCGGAGCGGGACGAAAATATGTACATCCGTTTCCGCTGTTGTTCTGGCAGTGGCTGCCATTGTCATTATATAAGAGGTAAAGCGAAATGGCAAAAATAAAAAATACTTCCATGAAACCTGAAGGAATTATTAATACTCTATAATGTGCTACACAAACGGAAGTTGGAGTTTATTATGACTTGAAGTTTTTAAAGGCCTACATTTGGCTTTATATGACGAGTACTATATTAAAGTATTTCTATACCAAGCTCACTTTGTTTTATTAGATACTAAGTAAATATGATTAGGTGCGTGTAGTTAAAATAAAAGTTTGATAGTTATGTTATTTTTATGTATTTATACAATTAGTATTTAACATATGCAAATTCATACATAAATGTTGTCTTCTCTAAAAACCTTTTTATATATAAATTCCAAGTAGCCTAATAATTTTGTAATTACTCCAATACTTAAAGTTTAGTTCACTTCATTAATTAAATAGTTGAAAAACTATTTAGCATTCCACAAAAGTGACTAACCCCGTTTTCGAGCTCTGACAATATAGGGTAGAGGAGCAGCATCAGCGGAAACAAGTTTATGGTAATCTTAATGCCTAAAGCTTTCCTTTGTTTTGATGCTGCTGCAAGCCGTAAATTTCACTTATTAAATATTTGTGCTTAATTAAGAATTTAACTCTCAAAACACGAGGAATGTTTGGAGGTAAATAGAATTAGGAGCACACTGTCTTTGGCATTGGGGGAGCATAGTTCAAACTAGGCTTTAAATCTTATAGTGAATAATTTGTGCCGAATCTGTTTAGAAAAAACTGAATAACGTTTGGTTTGGTATATAGCTTTAATTCATCAAGGCATAATTATACACCGACTTTTAATTAACTTCTCATAATTAATGAAACTTGAAACATTGGAAATTAGTAATATAAAAAAGAACTTTAGACTGGTAATAACTTTTCCGTGTCTATTGAATTTCAAATCGTATTATTCCACAGAAAATCCATTTAATACAAATAAAATAATCAAAAACCTTCTTGAAATACTTTCCTACATGCCTTGTTTCCCATGTATAAATCTTATTTAACAGATAAAGGCAAACAACTTTTTATAGTTTCTTTAGAACAACTTTCTTTTCACAAGTTTCCGATTGAGACAATTGGAAAGTTATTGTCTGGCAATGGATTCAACCATTCAACTCGGCACACATTCGTTTTGTACATGGGAATCCATTTTCGGTTAATTTTTAAGAGCCCCCAATCGATCTCCATTATTGACACATTTTTGACAAATTGCCAGATAGCCGCAGAGCTGCGTGGGTAGCGGTGGGTAGCGTCTGTGGCCAGGAGTCCTTTTTCTTGTTCTGTCCTGCGAATCGCAAATGAAACGTGTCTGGCATTTCTGAGGAGCCACGGACAAAGGCTAGCCGACACTGCCTACCTTTCTGGTTTACCGAAATGGCGAAATGGAAAAGGGTCAACGATTTGCGTATTATTTGCTTTATTTTCAATACGTCCTGCGAACCCTTGTCAGGAGGAAAGGACTCATTGCTAGGCAATGAATGCTTGGCTGCTGCGCAAATATTACCGCACTTCCATCGCACGTCCCTGCCTCCATCTCCTTGGCATGGCATGGCATGTCCTTGCTCCGCTTCTTTCGCATTTCAGTTCATTTCTGGCCTTAATTATGTACGGCGCAGAGCAAACAACAAATGCACAAACACACAGCGGCACAGCACATGTGCACACATCACATGCCCATGCACTTTCAGCCCAGTTAATTGCTCATGGCACTCGGAGCACTCTGCGCCACTTGACCGACCTGCAGCTGCCGCCCGCTCCGCTCCTCCTGCTGAGGCGCCTTATCCTCCTCCGCTTCCATCCTGCCGCCTGGCCTGACACTATTTAAACTAAATGCTTACCTTAAAATCATATTCCTCCTGGATCCAGGACACTGAAAATGTTGCCATTGCCTGCGGCCAGCTTTTCGTTATTTAAAACGGCCTTTGTCTGCGCTTGACCCTCTGTCACAACGGTCCTTCTTGTCGTCCACCGAGACAATCCTCTGGGGCACTGGCAAAAAAAAAAATTCGAACTGTTTTCCAAGCTGCTAAGATTTAAAAAGCCGATAGATAGTTTTTAAAACCAATTCAGTATTTTGTTATGTGTTAAAATCTGGGTAGGATAGCATTCTTTGAATAGATATTTTTATATGACATATTTTTGGGTAAATTAAAGTTTTTTCAAATACCATAACTTTGCCAAAAATTCATTAATTTCACTTCGGAAAGCTATTCTGTGCTAGTTTTTATAGGGTTAACAACTTTGCATACTGAGTTTTCAAATATAAATAATTTAATTTTTGAGTAAAACGGTATTATAAATCTAGCATACGTGGCGTATACTTAATGTGAAAACCCTTAAATTAAGTATACGCCATGTATCCGTTGTGGAAGAATAGTTTTAAAGTTTCTAAAGATAAGTAGTTCCAATTGAAAAGCAAGTTAGAATTATATAGAATTTAAGAACGAATAAGAAATCCATAGACTGTTATTTATAAATATTTGTATAAAACAATTTTTTCTAAAAATTAAAATTTAAAATACTCATAACTAAGCCAAAAACGCATTAATTGAAATTCGGAAAGCTGTCCCATGTTAGTTTTTATTGGGTTAATAAATCTACATACCAAGTTTAAAATTTAAAATAAATTAAAATTGTTTTTTTGGTAGTGTACTTATTTACTTACGCCTTTTCGATAGCCTCCTCTTGGGTCTGCTGCTGCTCGATGTCGTGCGCAATATGGCCGAGGCGAACGGCTTTGATGTCCTCTTATCAGTTCATCGCTCTGAATTTCTGTCGTGCTCGAGAAGCGGTCGAAAAGGGTTCTCCGGTGGCGTCGAGGCTAAGTCCTTTTTGCGATGACCAGATAGTTTTTCCTTCGGCAGAATCCCATTGAGCAAGGGATAAGTCGTAATGTGAAAGCTTATACTTGGATAAGCAAATGTACAAGTAATATTATAGCCACCGTAATTATTATTCCAACAATATCCTTTGGAAACCGAAGACTTTATTAAAAGAAGATAAGTTTTCCCGTTGTTTACCAAGTGCACTGCCTTTAATTTACCTAGCCAAAATATGCAGGTAATAACGAGAGAAGGCAAAGTCTGCCTTCAAAATGGCGACTAGGCGACTCACGCCCAAAAATGCCACTTCCTGCTGCTTAATTTCCGTTTCAAGTGAATTTCCTTGCTGCTAATTTTGTTGCACACACACAGACCCACACACACCTAGGAGGGGCACGTGCTCGAATGGAAACTGGGCCACACGGACGCGACCACGGACAAAAGTCCGGACAGAACACGGACATTGCTTTCATGCCCGTGCTCTCTCTCCGGACAGTGATTTTCGCCGGCTCGCCATTTGTTTGGCGCATAGTTTTCTTGAACCAAAACAAAAGCAAAGCCAGAAACAAAGAGAAAACTTTAATATCCGCACTCAATGGCACAACAGCAACAAGCTACATGGAGAACAATGCTCACTTCAATGTCTATTGATGGGCCACGTGTGTGTAACAGCCCCTCGGTTCCTATCTATGGGCAAAATATACCCCTCGGTTCCTTTCTCTATCAGGATGCAGCCCTCTTTGCTTTTGTCATCGACCCCGGATTTAATGGCGTTTATGCGCCGGAAATGGAGGTTTTCATGATTTAGACATAGCCTTAGGAGGATTCTAGAAGCCTTGAAACTTGACAAGCTGAGTTTTATGAACATTATTCAATTGGAAACACTATTTGTCGTCAGATATGTTTGAAAGTTTAATCGGAATATTACATTAATTATTTGAAAATAATTCTTTTCATAAGGTAGAATTCATTAAACTGGAACTCAATATTTCATTGTTAACAGCTTATTTTATTTTCTGTTCTTACTCTAAATTCTCTACAATCGCGATTTGGAGCAAATATTTTTGCTCGCTTCCCCCATAAACTTTGGGCCCAAAAGCCAGATTGTGTGTCTGGCTGGGCGCATATTAAGCCATTGTGAGCCTCGGAGCCAGCACGCTTTTAACCCGAAATTCAACGAGTTAGCGTCTCAGACAAAACTTTTTTAACTGAGCGGCAGCATAAAAGCTCCTCGGCCATTACTATCATTCACAGGGTGCAACAACTACAATGGGCTCTTGCTATTACGGTGGCTTAGCCGAGTCGAGTTCGAGTCCCTACCGAGTCTCGAGTCCTGGTTGTGAAACCAGAGTCCTGGGCCTGAGTGTTTGCTGCCATTTTTATTTGCAGGAGTTTGGGTTTATGGGTAAATGTGCATTGAGCATTTGTGTCTCTATCTGTGGCAGTGAGTCTGCACGAAGGAACAGAAGCAGGAGCAGCAGCAGGACTAAGGACACCCCACACCGGTATTGTTTGCGGTTCATTGTCTTCTTGGGCCATAGTCCTGTTGGTCCCTGTTCCGTGTGCAGTTAGTATCTGCGGTTAGCAGTTAGACTCCAAGGGGTTTATCTATCCATCCAGGGCCCCTTCTGGGCTAATGTGAAATATGCATGCTTAATTGTAATTCTAAATCCGAAACCACGGCACATTAGTTGTCCGGGCAGCAGTCACTGTTGCAAATTAACATCAATAATAAATTTCGATTTGCGGCAATTACAACTGGGCCTGGTCAGGGGAGTTTGGCCAGCTATGGGATATACTTTATAGATGCCTCAAATACAAATTGATTGATTTATTATGTATAGCTGTGGGCATCCATTGTGCGTCGATGAAAAGCGTTTCGAAAATTATTCCGCTAGCAATATTACATGTAGAATGAATTCAGTTGGTCCTAACACAAAATATGTAAATATTTAACGCAGGGCTATTTAGAAAAATCAATGTCTATGGTAATCCCGATGCCATAAATGTCACATGCATGCCGCCCCCAAAGGCAACGGTCGCACCCACCACAGCGGTAAGTCATCAGGATCGTCGAATGGCGACGATGTCAATGTCGCCACTAAACCCACAGAGCGAAATGCAATGGTTTGGATTTAAATTAATTAATGAATAGCCAGGCAAATCATCTTACTGATAAATTACATTAAAATTGCATTATGTCCGCATAAGTGAGAGAATATTTGCATGGGATTTGCGTTTATTTATTGAGACTGCTAATGCTGCAAATAACATGTAATCAGATACACTTATGCGTTGATGTATTTTTAATCCAGGCGTAGAGAGTCATAGATGTGAATAAAATAGCTTTTGCGGATTTAAGTTAGTTTATTTTGCAAATTCACAATTAAATTTTAGCATTGCGTAAGTTCTTTATAATATCAGCAAATCTAAATAGCTTCCAAATTAATTAATAAATTATTCAAAAGGAAATTCTTTGAATATGTATTCATAACTATTGTGGTAAACATAAAAGTCAAAATGATTCTATATTTATTTTATTATATTTATATTTTGTTAGTTTTATTTTCCTGAACAAATTTTATTTACTACCTTTTATTTAACCCTTTCTTATTTTAAATCGAATTATTATTTTGTAAATTTCTGGCAATTTGTTTATTATTTGAATTATGTTTTAAAGGATCTGGATTCGTTGCCTGATGATGGGTCTGGAGAGGTATGTTGATTTCTAAATTCCAGGTTACAGTATCCTTTTATCTCTTATCATTTATTTAATTTTCCTTTCCCCCTTCTATATGATTTAACTAAATAGAACTTTTTAGCCGAAGATTCCACGGAAGCCAATATTTTAAGTGACGATTTCTGGGCTGCATCCGATGAGGTTAGTCCGTATCCGCTTTAAAGAGCAGCACTAAAATAAAGACCAGAAATAAATAGAGTAATGACCCAGTGCATTAAACAAGTGCAGCTGGGTTTTTGCGGGTTTGCCATTGTTTTGCTATTGCTATTGACAGTGCTCTTGAAATGCCATAAAATGAGGGGGTTTTCGGGTCGCAGTTGCGCTGACCACTGCCACTTTGCATAATTAAATATTTATATTTAGTTATAAGTTAATTTCTGTTCATGGTGGTGGCAAGTGGCGAGTGCAAAATCGATGCCGTCCAACAACAGTTTGCACTCTATTCCTAATGAGTACTCGATTTCCCTTTCCACAGGCGACGGACATCTTCGACGCCAGCGGTATGCAGCCCCCGGGACAGACGCAGTACACGCACGAGAGACGTAAGTGAAGAGATAGCCAGGAATCCCATTCACACGCCCAAGTCCTGTCCCAATTCCATTCCAACTACCATTCCCACTTCCATTTCATATGCTAATGCAATGGATTTAACCATCGCCCTTTTGTTTGCTCTCCGTTCTTGCAGCATACCGCGGCATCAAGGGCGAGAAGGGCGAACGCGGGCCGAAGGGCGACAGCATACGCGGTCCGCCGGGACCGCCGGGTCCGCCCGGGCCCAAAGGTGATCCGGCCGTCTATCCGCCCTTTGTGGAGACAACGAGTGCGGGGGCTGTGAGTATTGCAAATTGACAGTTATTCGCCGCGGGCATCTGCACAGAGAAAAATAAAAGATATCAAATTACTTGCTCATTAAAATAATATGTATTTTATAAAATATCCCATGTGAAATATGCCAAACTTTGCTTATAAATTTTCAATAATATCTTTTATTGTAAATAAGGATCTTTAAGACTTAGTTTATTGCCTAAAGGGTCCTTAAACCCTACGTATAGATATTGGTAGTTGACATATTTTTTTCTGTGCTCGTTGTGATGGGCAACGCAAAATTGCCTGCCATAATGATGTGCCGTGGTAATGTGATCCGATCCATAGCCAGGTGCTAAGTTTGTATTTCATTTCTCATTTCTCTCCCCCTGTAGAAATACACTGGCGAGTGTACATGTAATGCGTCTGATATCCTAGAGGCCATCAAGGACAATGAGTCGTTGCGGGAAACGCTCCGCGGAGCGCCAGGAGCGGCGGGCAAGGATGGAAAGCCAGGTACCCCTGGTCACACCGTAAGTACTACCCTGACTATGGCTTCATCTTCCTTTTCTCTATATATATATTTAACTACCTTTGGATGAGAGTTTATTAATTTTGGCAGGAAGTTTGACAAAGAGATATTTTAAGGATAGATAATATTATAGATGGCAGGACATTTTTATTATGCTGTTGTTAAAGTTATTATTTGAATCATCATCTATCTCATGTAAAACTCCGCCCTTGTAGGAAAAACTATATACACTTTTAGCAAAGAGTATTTATATCTTCGGTTGCCTTGATAAAAGTTTTCTTCTTGTTTTTCTTCCGTTCGTTGGGCTTATCGGTATGTACGGCAATTTCGAGTTACAACGGGTTGGCAAAAAGGCAATATTTGACATGAATCTAACACATTTTCAATTTCATTACACACATCGTCTAATCTTCAAGAGTGAGTGGCTGGAGGAAGGAGGATGGTGACTGTGGAGTCTGGGCAATCTGAGAGGAGAGAGCTAAGAGAGATCCCAAAAGGGGCTGCATGTTTTCCTATGTCAAACATCATAATTTGCACAGCGCAGAGAGCCAGCTGTGTGTGTGTGTGTGTGCGAATGGCAGTGCGTGTAACCGGAAATGGAAAAAAACGTTAGGAAAAGAGATGGGAAAATGCGAAGAAAGTCCCCTCCGGACCGGGAGGGGGGAGTTGAAGGGAAAATGGGAGCAAATCGTAACGTAACGAATATTTCTTTATGCGCCAGCTCACGCTTAAACACTTATCCACTCTCCGGGTGGCACTCGTTATATTATCTCATCAACTGGCAGCGTCTTTGGCAACCATGAGAGTTCACTGTGGATACACAAAGGATGTCGCTGTATCCATGTGTTGAACTACACTTGACTATGTACTTGCCATTTACTTCGTGGAGCACACTCCTATCTCTCCTTCTGTCCCCACTCTCCACTCTCCCCTCGGGTCAAAGGCAAAGTCCACAGCAACTCGTGCTCCTCTTTCGGCCACCACTCCACTTTTGTAGACTTCTGAGTGCTTGGCACGCAACAGGGCCAAAAACTTTGAGCAGCTAACCGAAAATAACATGTATACGATATGAATGCACGTCCATTACTCTTGGAATAATTCAAAAAGCGAAAGCAGGCCAAAGACAGAGTACCCACCATCATCATCATCTTGCAAAATCCGCCGGCCCATTCAATCTCGAATCTAACATTTTCTGGGCCACTCCAGCAACCTGTGGAACGCAGCCTCTTCAATGCGATGCAATACATCAAAAGGAAAGCGGTATGCCGGGCCGGGCATTCTGCGGTCCATCGCCAGCAGCTAACTGCTTGGGAAATATGCCAGTTCCCTTCGAGCTTACCCAAACCTCGTTCCAAAAAACCCGCAAGAGCCTCCTAGGCTCGCTGACCCTTTGCCACCTCCACTTCCACCTTCGCTCTAACTCCAGCTCCAGAAAGGCTTTGGTAGCTCGGTGAAATATGGCTAGCTGGCGCGCATACCGGAAATTCCTGCGACAACTTTGTTGCCCCACTGCTAATCCCTTAACTAATAGCAATTAATTTAAAAGACGACGATAAGCAACAGCTACATAGCCGAACATAACACAACACAAACAGAACAACAGGAACATGGCACGCAAATGGCTCACAGCGTGACCATTTTGCATAAGATTAAGAACATTGGGAGACACATTTTTTGTGTACCCATCCATGTCGCTATTGGAATGTCGAGGCCCCCCCTTTAGCTCCTTATACCCACAATACCCAACTCCCTGGCCGCGAAACCCAAAAACCGAACCGAACCACATGCCACACGGACGACGGGCCTGGTCGCGTAGATTAATGAGCTCGGACTAAAACGCAACGATTATGTAAATCGACCGCTGCCAGTTAGAAACCCAAAGCTCGAACTCTACTTTCAAACCCGAAATAGCTCCTTCTGAGGCCTATACACCGTAACAAAAGTTATATCAAGACCATGATAAATTCCATCTTATTCAAGGTTATCGATATCGTCTCCGAGTTTTGATCGATTTTTGATACCATTTTTTTTCATTCAGTAGATCATATTGTAATAGTTTAGGCTATACTTTACGATCTTAGCCCTTTTTTCGGTGTAGACTTCCCCGGTAGATGTAGATTTGTAGCTCTAAGGTCCCAGGACACGTTATATGCACGCCCACTAATGTGATTTATTTCTCTGTCGCTGCCGGCGACGTTTCTTCCTTTCCTCCTTGGTACTCCTCCGTCTATGTCTACGTCTACGTCTCCGTCTCTATCGCCGCCATCCCGTTTCCGTTAACATTTATCCAGGGAGCAACCGGAGTGCCAGGAGCTCGCGGCGCCCGGGGATCCGAAGGTGCCCAGGGGCAGAAGGGTGAGCCAGGCGTCGACGGTCTACCCGGAGTCGTGGGTCCGCCGGGACCACCGGGTCCGCCTGGTTTGCCCGAGAATTACGATGTAAGTATTACAAAACAAAAAACAAGCTATTTAAATTTATTTACAATTTGAAATTACTTACGTCTTTATGGGTGTACAATGTACAACGAAGAATATATGGCAAATGATTTTAATTACTTTGGTTCTTTCAACCTGAAGTTTAGAGTTTATGTTTGAAAGTTAACTTTATTTAACACGAATCTATTTCATTTAAAAAAGGGTTAAGCCTAATACTAATATTTTTTTGAAGTTGTTAAACTTCTTTTACATTTATATAAATTACTTGTTTATCTTTTAAAATACTTTACTTTATTTTATTAGTTAATTGATATTTAATTTTAACCTCAGTAAACCTTCAATCTCCAAAATAATTAACCATTTTCCTTTAATAGAATAAATTTGATAATTTAACTGAAAATGCTCTTGCCCCACAAACTAAGTTTAAACAAGTAAAGTTAAATTTATTAAATATTTTAAGGCATTCTTTAATAAGGTTTCAAAAGGGCAAGTGTATCTAATCTTCAGGTAACCGAAGATAGTTTACATTTTAATTTAACAAACTTCATAACAAGCTTGCTTTTCGATCAAAATTGCACCTTTTACAAAAGGACAAACAAAGGCGCGTTAGCTAATGCAGTTGCTCGAAGTCCTTTCCCGTCTCCTTTTTTATTCTATCTAGCTCCAGGTTCTTGTCCGTATTCCTGTCCGTCTGTTTTCAATCACGCACAGCTTTATGAATGGCGTCTGGTGGAGGTAAACGTCCGTCGTGTTTTACAAGCCGCACAATTTGCCTAAACTAATTTCCTTCCTGGCCAGCGCGCGCAGTAACTGTGAAAAATTACCACCCCGGTGGACGGACATGGCGTCACGCCAGATTCGGATTCAGGCGAGGATCCGTTTGCCAGTTGGCATTGTATGGTAGAGTTTGCCAAAAAGCCAGCACGTTCAGAGTGGCCACCATTGTCGTTGTCGCGAATGCCACAAAATGCCCTATCTGTGCTAATAATCTTAAAACCGCCAAGGTTTTCACCGCACAAACATCTCCGCGCGGAGGGCCGAAACGTAAGCGTCTTGAGCACGCGAGCAGCCAGTCCTAAACCCAAAATTTAAGTGGAGTCCTCGTGTCGAAGGTGAAGTCAAGTTGGAGTCTACACGGAGAGAAATTTGTAGAAAAAATTTGAGAGGGGAAATATAAAATTTTAGAATTTCATATAGTTTTTTTTTACATTGTAATAGTCAGAAGCTTGAAACGCAGTGAAGGAGTCATTTCCGACCCTATAAATCATATATATTCTTGATCAGCATCAACAGCAGAATCGATTGAGCCATGTCTGGCAGAAAAAAAAAATTTGAAAATTTTTTTCTAAATTTCAAAGTTGAAATGACTGTTGAAATGGTCAAAAATTTACGAAAATTTTAATTTTAAAAAACTTTATAACTTGGTATGCAGATTTATTAACCTTTTAAAAACTAACATGGGACAGCTTTCCGAATTTAAATTAATCCGTTTTTGGCTTAGTTATGAGTTTTTAAAATTTTGATTTGTCAAAAAAATGTGATTATAAAAATATTTATAAATTTCGAATCTTTAAAGCTTGGCTATGATCGATTTCCGATTCGATCTTATAATTTAATTGCTAAAATTTCTTTTAAGCTGAAACAACTTATCTTTATAGACCTTAAAACTAGTTTTCCTTAATACACACATGGCGTATACTTAATTTAAGGGTTTTCACGTTAAGTATACGCCACGTATGTAAGATTTATAATACCCTTTTAGTCAGAAGCTTCAAAAGTCATGAAGGAGTCATTTCCGACCCCGTAAATTATATATATTCTTGATCAGCATCAACAGCTGAATCGATCTAGCAATGTCTGGTCAAATTAAAATTTTTGAAATTTTTTTTTCAAATTTTTACAACATTGCAATTTTACAACAATGCATTGTTAAAGTTTTCAAAAATGGCAAAAATTTTAAATTTCTACAAATATAAATTGAGTATGCAGCTTTTTTAATCTAATAAAAACTAGCACAAAACAGTTTTCCGAATTAAAATTAAAGCATTTTTGGCTTAGAAATGGTTAATTTAAAATTTAATACCTAGTTCAAATTTCAAGCTACATAAACTTTGGCTGCTAAAGCTAGAAAACTTGCTTAATTTTAATTTTTGTAAACTAACATCATTACATAAACAAAACAATAATGTACCTTGAAACTATTACCTAAACTTATAAATTTAATTTATAAATTAATAGTTAAATGCCAAACAAATATCTTTAGATTGAAGATTTTTTAAGAAAATCTAAGTTTTTTTTAATAAAATTTTTCTTTTATATATCAAATACATTTTAAATACGATATTAGTTCATGAACAAGCTGTGTTACCAACACATTATTAATTTTTATTTTGCGGAAGCAGGCAAAAATTTCATTACTTTTTTCTATGTAACGGTGAGTGAGTGGCTTGTGTTGGGCCGTAGGCCGCCGTGGGCTCAGTTTACAGGACTCGGGGGCCAGAAATTGGGATCCTGGCTGGATTCGGGGCTGCCGCATGCCGCATGCCACATGCCAATGACGACGATGACGATGCCCGGTGTTCCAGCTGGTGGCAATTACCGTTATCAGCGCATGGCGCGCTCAGTTCACGCGGTTAAATGCGGTAACACGCACACACAGATATAGATAGGGAGCCGTTGTGTGGCATGGCCCACACACATACGAACGCAAACAAATACGAAATCGCGAACAAACACAAATGCAAACACATCACTCGTTCACGTTCACCCGTGGCATCCGCACCGTTGCCACTTTGAACCCTTTCATGCAAGAGTGAAACTTTTCTTTTTGCCGCTCGGCTTTATCACCACATTTCAACGCCGTATGTTGCTCGCCGCACCCCAAACCCCTTTATTTTTTCTGTCTTCTTCTGCCACATCTAAATGTTGGCCAAAAGGGGGATGGGTCGGCGTTGGGTGGGCCGTAATCATTATCGCACTGTTACGTTTATGAAAGTGTCAAGCTACTTGTGGTCGACGAGGCGGCAGTAAAAATCAGACAGCCACTCGCCTGTGTCGGCCCGCCCATTGTTTAATGTCGGAGGGTTTATCATCATTATCATCGCCCCCGAGTCCGGGAGACGTAGCCAGAGAGTCAGCTCTAGAGCCTTTTAAAAGCTTTCCGTGGGCGTCGTACCCTCTGTGTTAGCCCAGAGATTGGGAGGTGCCAGGATCCACGACAAGGAAGCCCACTGCTGGCAGTTAAACAAATGGGTTTGAATTTCGGGTCTGCAATAATAGAACATAGAAATCAGGGGGAAAAAAACGGAAGGGTCATAGAACAGATTGTCAACACAAAGGTAAGGCAAAATATTAAAGGACAAGACAATTTTGACAGGATATTTAATTTAATTTCATTCCGTTGAACCTCTCTTTAAAGCAAATACTTTAAAGATCGTCATACCAAAACTCAGACTCCATACTTGAAAATCGTTTCAATAAATATTTTCCAGGGTAAAGCCACATTCGTTCTTCAGTATTAACAGACTTTTCAAAGCCACATTTAGAGTCCTTAAGAAGCAAATGCTTTTATGTTTATTAAAACGACTTTTGATTGTCAACACGACTTCCACTTTTTCAGATGTTTTATTCAGAAATCCAATTACCCAAGCCTATGTATATATGTATACAATATATATATTTATTATGTCTGCTGCTCATATGAATCCAAGTAAAAGTTGCAATTTTGAAGCTTGTTTGTTTTTGTTTTGTTGACTTCGATTTAATAACAGTGAAACCATCTAATAATACGCTTTAATTTCACGCCCATTGCTCTATATTATTGTAATACGTATAAATCGTATCAAAAAAAATTATGTATTCTTGTAACAATCAACACATAAATAACAGATAAATTGGAATCCAACCAGGACCTTCAAGGTATAAACATTTTAACAATTTCATCTTATGCTCCCACCACCACCACTAAACCGTAAAATACTCTTAACAAAAAAAACAAAGGCCAAGGCAATGGCAAGGGCAAAGGCTTGCCAACTGGCCGGGGGTAAGCGATGGCCACAGCATTTAATGGACTAGAACCACTTGGCATCATTAGCCCCGCCCCTCTGATCCGCCCCCATCAAGAAAAAGATCATTAATCAAATTTCCGCCGTAGATACACCTCCGTGTATTTGCTGGAATCGCCATGTGTCCCTCGTCAAAAAAGTGGGGGGAAAACCCAAACGCTTACTGTGTGAGAGGCGAAGCAAAAAAAAAAAAGATCAGAAAAATGGGGCCCGGAATACATGTATCGAAAATAAATTGTACAACAAGCAAATATTTAACAAATTACTATGCCTATACACATACCCTCACAGGAATCCCTAATGGTCAACTCGATGGGCACATTCCGGGGCACGACGCAGCCAGGACCCAAAGGTGTGCCCGGCGAGAAAGGTGATGCGGGCCAGAAAGGAGAGCGCGGCGATCCGGTAAGTCAGAGGGCATGTCTAATAAATGGCCCTTTACCCTTACCACACCCCCCGCCCCCAATTCCATTCCCCTCATATATGCCTTATAAAGTGTTCCCCGGGCCCACACACGATTGTTGTTTCAAATATATAACAATAATTTCTGCCCTATTGACTACTCAATTGATTTTGAGGCTTCTCGAAAGGGCAACCGGGGCCAAGGAACTCTCGCCCAAATGAGCAAATCGTCTACCAAGGAGAATTTGTTTTTGGCCAGGGCCAATAATGGGGTTTGAAAAGGACATTGGGTTATAGGGAACAATGTTATCGATAGCCTTTTTATTGCCTTAATTAGATTCGGCAAGATTATGAATGCTTGTATTAGACTTTTGAAATGGACTGGTGAAAGAATAATTTGAAAATAGGAAAGTTCTCTCAGAAAATAAGAGCTTTAAGAAAATGTAAACTATACTTTAGCATTAGATAGGAAATTTAAGGAAATTTTTCTTAATAAGCTTTATATTTTTTATATATACTCTTTCATAATCTCTCTCATTAATCTTGTACTGGAAAATTAGGAAATCCTTAGATATACTTAATGGCCATCTTAAAATAAAAAATATTTGGCAAATATAGGCCAAGCTATTAACCCCGCAAAGGGATAAGCGCCACCACATCCCAAAATGGCTTGGTGTTTTCGAGCTCAGGCCAAATTGTATCCAATTTGATAGATAGTAATAATTCTTTCCGAGCTCCCCAGCAGCTCCAGAAGCTCCAGCTGAGTTCGTATTTATGGCATCGCAGTCATTTGTGCAGGAAATACACAATTTGGGGCATAAATTTCTATCAGCAGTTGGCCCGAAATGCGTCACTTGAGACGATGCTTGCCAATGTCTCCTGATTTCTTGTCCATCTGCTGGTCGTGCGGGTTGGGGGCCAATTTGTGTGCATTTATAGCTCATTTGATTTTCAGTGGATATGACCAGGGGTCAGCACAGGATGAGGAATGTCCGTGGTGTGGAGGAGAGATGCCATCCAAGCGGAGGCGAGCATAAACTATTTCGTTTCATTTCGTTTCTTTTCACTTCTCGTTTTGGCATTACTTTCATAATAAGTTTTGGCCATTTGAGGAGCTCATCCTGCTTAGGCGACGCTTACTTCCCAGCCATTACCCCGTATGCCATTTAGCAGCTTAGTGGGGTGGCTTTGCACTCTCCAGGATCCAAAATACCACTCTCGCTCCGCAGGATCTCTGCCCTACATACATCCATATATACATATTTCTTTTATGTGCAACCTCAAAACTTAAATCTGCCAGCCGGGGCTCGCATAATGTGCTTGTTGTTAGTCCGTTTCCCTTGGCTTTCTTTTGGTTGAGCTTCTCACGTGGGCGACCTGAACTTCCGGTGTCGCAGATTACTCTTCGGAACACCAGCCAATTTGAAATCATAAAGACACAGCCACCGTCACAGCCACGACTTTTCTACATATACACAAGCCATATTTATGCGACTTGCGGTGAAAGGAATCTGCCGTGGATGTAACAAGGCTGCTTTTAAGTAGTTTCCCCTTGGTGGCCACACCCGAAATTAATCGTGCGTGAAATAAAAAGAAATTATGCAAACAGCCACCCACACATACATACACATTATGAACGACAAAAAAAAAAAGAAATCGATTGGGATTTTATGATAAATTCACGCCCAATTTGTCAGGAAGACGGCGTATCGCCATACCCCCCAGTTATTGTATTACAAAATTTCAGGGAAAACTAATATGGAAATTAGCATTTTAAACGTATGAATACACGCACAATTAGGTTCGTTTCATTAAGCCTAAAAAACAGACACACACACACACATCCCAGCGTGGATCTTAAAAGACAGCCTCCGGAGCAGTCGTGTGTGTGCTTGGCCTTATTAATTATTCATTAGTTGGTATTAAGTTGGCGATATGGAGCAAGGTCCTCACCCGCAACAAGCTCAGGCCCCAAGGAAAACAGCAGCCGGATTATCCCAGTACATGCACTGTGAAAAAAAGGGAGTCAATTATAGTAAAATCAACCTAGGAAGTATCTGGGGAGAATAAATAATTAAAACTACATTTTAAATATATTTAATTACCTAGTCAAGCCATCGTCCGATACCTTTGAAAAACCTTATGAGCTCAATTATGGTTTTGTAATTTTCCCAGCCCAGTATTTCGCTCAGTGTGGCTACCATTTTCCTGCAAGCATTTTCCAGCATCCACTCGGGTGGGCGCGTGCAAATTTATGGCGAACCATTTAAGGCGCTGATGATGTGGAAGACGACGCTGGGGATGAATTGAGTCAAGCCGAAGGAAGGAAGCAAATTTCCACAAAGGCTGAGGACCAAAAAAGGAATATGGTTTTGTGTTTTCGGGCTTGTCACCACGGCACTGTCGCATTCGGTCGCATAAATTTATCCAGCATGTGTGTGTGTGTGTGTGCGGGATTTCGGAATTGATTTGATTTCAAAATGAGTTTGAATTGAATTTTTTCTGTCGTCGACAAAACGTTTGAAATTGAGTTTTACGGCCAAATTAGGCGAGAGCTGTTACCTCCCCGGCTTCAACCATTCCCCAGTCCCTCCATCCTCATCCCCATGGGCACATGTAGCCGTATATTTAAGACCGTAAATCATTTCACACACTTGCTTTTCTTCCTTTCTGCCTCCATCCTTGCCAGGGTCACAAAGGTGCGCACGGGCCCAGTGGCGCAAAGGGTGAGCCCGGCGAGCCGGGAACACCCGGACTGCCAGGATTGCCCGGCCAGGCTGGACAGCCTGGTGGACTCGAGGGCATGGCCAGCGCTAACGGGACCAAGGGCGAGAAAGGAGAAAAGGGTATGCGAGGACGACGCGGCGGCACCGGACCCGCTGGACCAATCGGGCCGCCCGGAAAAACCGGGGCCATGGGCGATATTGGACACTCGGTGAGTATTGGATTGGAGGAGAAGTAGAAGGAGGAGCAGGAGAGTCCGAGTCCAGGGCCACTCGCAACTTTCGCATGCATATTCATGAGATGGCCAACTTTCACATGCTTTCACCCATTCTGGCCAGGAGCGTAGCCATGGTCAATGCTTGGGTGTACACGGAAAGCAAAGAATATAATTGAAATTATTTGTATTTATTTTATATTTGAAAATATTTCTTGAAAAACTTCTATCCGTTTAGTATTTCTAGCTATTGCACAAGGGGTATAACATCTCCTTTAATAATAAGTTTTTATTTTCTTAGTAAAAGAATGCAAAAGTTAATCGATTTTTGTGCAACTACAAAAGGCAATAGCATTTAGGATCCTTTTCTGCATCCTTTCTACGCCCGTGAATCCTGCTCCTTTCGATTGTTGTTGCCACTGGGAAAAGTTCGCAGACAAACAGACATTTTCTGGCCGCACTCGCGATCTAGACAATCAGGGCAGTGAAAGAGGTTGAGAGCGGAGAGCGGGTCGAAGGGCGTAGAAGCAGACAAAAAAAAGGGGAATAAACTGAAACGAAAAGTATTTTAAGTGCATTTTCATCACGGTTATTCAGGACGCGGCAGTCAGCGCATCGCACGATTCCAATTGCAGTTTACCCAGAATTTCCGCCATTATTCCGCAATAACAACAGCTAAGCAATGGCAAACTTTCCTTTTTTCCAGCGGAGTCAGTGAATTGAGAGGCACGAATTCCATGGCATTCTCGGTTGTAGTATTCTGTGCCAACTGGCATCGTTTACTGCCCGAAATCAAAATCAAGCAGCGTATTTACATGAGCTTGGGAGAATGTGAATGGGACACGGAACTTTGGCTCAATTGCTAGAACGAGCGGAGAAACAAAAAGGTTTTTTGCGACTAGAAAATTGTTGCATTCCGAAAACGGCGAAAGTTTGGCCATTTTTGGCCATAGTTCAAGTTGCCTCGTTGGTCCGCCTTCCTAGCTCCATCTTCAGTTTCAGTTCCCATTGCATCTGCAGCAACTTTGCTGGCAATGATCATATAATTTGCTCCAACTTTCCCACTTACGAGTGAGGGGATTTTGATTTTTCCCCCCGAACCATGTGTGAACTTTGCTACGTGCTCATGACATTTGAGCAATCGAAAGCTCATAATTTTAATAATTAAACGTGGCTTAGAGGCAAGGAAATTGAACTGGTATAATACTGGTAAAGTTATTAGGTTCTCTTCTAAGAATTTTAAAGGAAAAATTACTAATTGACATATTAAAATTATAGATTTGATATTAAAGCAAATTTCCTCTTTTTGTAAATCTAGCTTAAAGTTTATATAAAGTAAAAAAAATGTAACTTTCAGTCAAACTACGACCTGATAACAAATTTCTTTTATATCCTGCTGCTTCCACTGATTTTCATGACCTTTAATTGATTCTCAGGGACGGCCGGGCATGACAGGACCAAAGGGCGAGATGGGACCCAAGGGCCCGAAGGGAGATTCCGGCGGACGCGAAGGGGTAAGTAGAGACGACATTAAGTATACGCCCCATCTGCCTACAGAGGGTGGGTGATGGATCACCGAGGAAGCGAGACACTGACTGGGAAAACTTGTTCGTTCACAGGTCAAGGGTGACAAGGGCGACCGAGGTCAGGATGGACGCGATGGCCTGCCTGGACCACCGGGACTGCCTGCCACCGGTGGCAGCGATGGTGACAGCAGCGGAGTGCAGTACATACCGATGCCAGGACCTCCAGGACCTCCGGGACCACCTGGCCTGCCGGGTCTCTCGATTTCCGGACCGAAGGGTGAACCCGGAATGGATTCGCGTAGCAGCTTCTTTGGTGACGCCTCCTATTATGGCCGACCAGGTGAGCTAAACCCCAAGAAACTTGCTCTGAACTTCTGTAAATATATATCACAGTGTGAGCCTAGTTAGAGAGAGTTAGTCCTATCTGTATATAGCTAGTACTGTCCTTACCGAACCTAACTTATCCAACCTGTGTCAAACCATGTCATTTGTATCGTACTCCCCGTCATCAAGGTGCGCGCTCATCTTTAGACGAACTCAAAGCACTGCGAGAGCTGCAAGATCTGCGCGATCGGCCCGATGGCACAGCCGGTAATCAACAATCTCAACTCAACCATCCACCATTCTTTATTGAAATAACCTTAGCGTTTGTGTTTTGCCTGTGGCCTGGCCATTCGGAATGTTGCTTGCATGACTCCCCATTTCGCCCAGATAATTGCCTCCCTTTCAACGAACACCTTTCCCACGGCTATTTTCCCATTTTCCCTGGAATGCCTTCACAACCGTTTTATGAACTAGCTCCTTGCTCCTTTTATGGGGAGCAAGCTCCCTCATATTTGCACATCATCATTAACTCATTTGGCGTTGATAGAGTACAGCGTGTAAACATTTTCTTTATGCGCGAATTTTCACACCGTCATGACTTTTCCGCCGCCAGAAAATCACCCGACTCATGGCTCCCACAAAGACATAACACATTTTAGTTACCATTAAACTGAAATGCCAGTTTTTGGCATATTTTTGGCGAACTTCTGACACTTTCGGTCGGTTTAGAAAATACATAAAAATGCGCTCACATATGAATTATTAAAGCACGAATGGTTTCCGGGAATAGAAATAAATTCTGACGAATATAGAAATCGATAAGTATTTCTTGGTATCCTTTTTCCATTCACTTATTTATTTTTGAGCATAAAGAGAAATTTTAATTCTAAAAATCTTTTTATTCATGACTCTTTAAATTATTGCTGAATGAATCTTCTTGCATGGTTTACTGCTCTTTAAATATTTCTAAAATATGTTATAATTTGACTTTTAAGATGTAGAATATAACCTCTTTTAATGTAATATATAATATTCCTCCACTGTTTTATAGCTTCTTTCTTCTTAAATTATACTGATTCATCACTGTCGTGATTTAGCACTTAGAAAAAATCAAATTTAAGTAAATACAGACTTATTGTATTATGTGCCATAATGCCTAAATTATCCTTGCAGAGCCACCGCGCCAGACAGGACATTCACACAAACATGAAGAGGCCCTGGGGCCTGTTGAGGGCGAGGAACCATACTTTTCGGCATCCTCCTCGAATATGAATATGAAGATTGTGCCCGGCGCAGTCACCTTCCAGAACATCGATGAAATGACTAAAGTGGGTGTCGATTGGTTAAATTTGGCACCAACCATGTATTTTTAAACTCTTTCTCGATGTATGTGTATTTTTTCTCCCCATACAGAAGTCGGCACTGAATCCGCCGGGCACGTTGGCCTACATCACCGAGGAGGAGGCATTGCTCGTTCGCGTCAACAAGGGCTGGCAGTATATTGCGGTGAGTTTTTTTGGCCAAAGTCACACAGAGACAAGTTTTTAGTAGAGTTTGTTAATTTTTTGTATTTATTTATTATGATAAAATTGGGGAAGAGTGTACCGAGAAAGGAGGTTTATTGGTTCAATTGTTAGATGAAGCTAAGGACTCGAATTGCACTTAGGTTTATACATATTAGTCTGAGGTAATATCTTTTGCTATAGTTATTTAGATATACATATACTATATAATTTCTTTCCGTGTGCCTTCAGTTTCGTTTTCAGTTCGGGGGGTTGGATTTGATTTCTGGCTCCTAAGCAAACAGAGGGACCTTCGGGTAGCACTTTTAAAATGCCAAATATGACAGGCGCTGAGCCCGCTGGCGGGCGGTTATTATTTTATAGATCCCGCTCCACCGCTCCCGGTTGTGTTGTTCCATTATGGCCATAAGCCCCTCAGAAAAGAAAGCGGCAAATGCATGCAAAAATAGAATGGAATTGGCGGATAGCAATGGAACTGGCCAAAAGGAGGAGCGCGTGCTTGTCTTCTACTCGCCTTATTTATTTATTTATTTATTTTTCCTTGCCTGCCATAAAATAAGGTTTGTTTGGCATTGCCCTTGTATCGACTCGTTTTTTATTTGCACATTAAATGTTGCAGACGTTCAGACTGATTGCCAATCACACATGTGTGTCTGTGTGTAGGAGTATCTGCGTTATTCAATTATATTGACTTGCGTTTGGCTTTTCACTTTTCCCGGTTAAGGAATACCAAGATACGAAGAACATCCAAGCGACATGTGGCATGTGGCAGGCAATTTGAGTCAGTCAAAGCTTCAAAACATTTATTGATGAAATATAAAACATGCATCGGTTGATCTGGTCGGGGTGCCTCCAGGACCTTTCCTTGGGGCCATAAATTCCTGCAGCAGATTAAAAATAATATTAAGCGGAAATCGAAGGTTTTATTGTCGTCCCCTGGACACTCACTCCCGAAATTCCGTCGTCAGTGCCACATGCCAATTAATCTCTTGCCAGTCCAAGGTGAACTCGTGCCAGTGGGAACCTTTTATTACCCGGACTCCCTGGCAATTTGCTCGGGTCAGCATTTTGTGTGTGGACGAACTCTGAAGTTGGCGAAATTACACGCAAAATTGCTCGATTTCCCCGATAGCTTGTTAAACATTAAAGTGGCCACAATTTCGGCTGCTTGTTGCGTTATTGAAATCATTCGAAAATTGTAAATGGAAAATGGCCGGCACAGAGGGGAACTACATGCACACACATACACACATCCATGTAGTGGCAGTTGCCTGAATTGTGCCCAAAGTGTACAATATTCTCAGAATTCGGGGAGCTGCAAAAAACTGCTCGAGATTCGATTTCCGCTTCCGTTGTTGCAGGGCACAAAAGCCAGCACAGCATGGCTGTGCCTGGTGGGCGTGGTTGAGCCTTCTGGCTACCAAGCTTCTGGCTTCTGGCTCCCGACTTCTCCTGGCTATGGTATGCCGGCTCCTGGCAACTGGCATGTGCATAAGGCAGCCTCGAATGAAAACGAAATCTCTTGCCTTTGACGGCAGCATTTAAATACTTTTGACAACAAAAACCCGGCACAGGACCATGAACTGTCAGGGTGCGCCGAGTAATATGGCAAAATCGAGGCAAAGCTAAAAAGGGCCCTTTGTTGGTGAAATTTCACTAAGTCGGGAGGGAGTCAGGAAGTTGGCTACAGAGGGAGAAATATTGTTAACAAGCTTGTAAAGTTCAATATGAAAGGGTTTATCCACAACTGAGTAACTTAAAGATTAATATAAAAGGTTTAATATTTTAGACAGGGAGTAACTAAGGTCTTAATTTTGGCCCAGTGTTGTTGACTTCCTATTTGCATTTCGCATTTCGTCTGGGCCAAATACACAGCTGTCTGCCGAGATACCGAGATTGTAGCCGAGGCGCCATCCTAATTAGATTTCAGTACACGAGTCGACTACTTAAAGTTCAAAATAGTAATTAAAACTTTTGTCAGACGACGTCGCGCATTATGGCAGTCGAAAATTTGACCCTAATATAGGTCGGGATTGAGACGGAACGGAGAGCAAAAAGGGACCTAGGACCGCGACTGGGACAGATACATAAATTCCTACACGTAATGCAAATATTTGATGAAAAGTTTCAATACAACATAGCGCTGATTTCATCTCATCATAATGGCTCGAGTGAGAGGAGCGGCTGTGTGTTTGCCTTCCGTTGGCAGTCGCGCTGAAATATTAACTACTTGAAAGGGTCTGTGGAACATGTATATTTGCGCAGGGCTCTTGTTTTATTAATTACAAATTCGTCAAACGCTTGTTTGCTTGTCTCGTCAGCAGGCAGCCGCCGCCTTTTAATTACAATTTTCGCATTTAAAGTAATATTTTACTCTTCCAACAGTTGGGTACCTTGGTGCCGATTGCCACGCCCGCACCGCCCACAACGGTGGCGCCATCGATGCGATTCGACCTGCAGTCGAAGAACCTGCTCAACAGCCCGCCGCCCCCGCTTAATACGCCCACGGTGAGTGATGGAAATCGACTCGACTTTACATTTTTTTGTCCTCCATCTTTTTATTGTGTTTCCCATTTGCCATTTTCCACACCGTACATCTACTCGCACTCGCACTCGTATCCTTCGGCGGGATAATGACATTGATGCGCGGGCGAAAATTAAGAGCGCTGCGAATGGAAATCAGAAGTTCTAGCTGGGATTCCCTTTGTGCGCGCATTAAGTGTACTCGACTTTGATGAGTTAAAATGAATGAAGTGAATTATTTATAAAGCAACGATTCTGCCGGCATCCGATTGTCATTTCCCGCCAAAAGAGAGCCTCTAACAATACACTCTACTAACTGAACTATCAGTGCTATTTGAACTGAACTACAAAACTATCCAAGAAAGAAACAGAAATAAAGACAACACAATGCTTTGTTCCTAATCTCATGACACTAAGTTACTAAATGCACGAATAATTGTCCCTTATATTTAAAGGTCCCTGAAATAGAGTATCTTAAAAACTGAACAATATGATAAGAAATTGGAGTACAAGAATTTCAATATTAAAATATGAAAAGGAAATTATTCGTGTTAATTTGTAATTAATACTTTTACAACAGAAACTAGAGCCAATGTCATTGATAAGCCTTACTAAACTTATTTATAATTAATTGTCGTTAAATGCAGTTTACAACCGGGCCCGAATACGAAACGGTAATTAAATCCATAATATCGCATACCGTAGTACTAAAAAAAAGAATAACAAAAAACCAGCGGTGAAATTCGAAAATAGTGAACGACTCTTGCACATTTATACTCGTTGAATAAATAATTTGATTTTGTTTGCTGGCCAATGAAAATATTTCTAATTAGCGAAAATTGCATTTTCAGTTCTGTTGTTGTACACGGAACAATTGGTGTAGTTTGATTTTCTGCTTTTGTCTCTGTCTGTCGATGGTTTTTGTGTTTTCATTAATGCGATGGAAACTCTCTCTTTTTCCTATTCAAATAAGAGTTCCAGGTTTATTTACATATATCTCTTTCTGTGCTCTGTGTGTGTGTATATGCTTTATGTGATTTGCTTTTTTAACTAGTCGCTTCTTGATTGAATTTCGTCCTTTTGTTTTTTGGGTAATCCTTGAAGCTTAGTTCTCAACGATTCGCATCCCACACGAAATCCAAGAATGTTGAGAACTCCTTTTTTGTGTGTGTTCGTTCGTTCGGTGTTAGAATGCCTAGAATTCCCATTTGGATTTATTAAATTAAAAGTATTTTTGTCCCTTATCTCATGGCTGCGTCTGCGAACAAAATTAACGGGATCGAAAAAATATTGAAAATTAAAATCACAATTCCAGTGGTATCCGCGAATGGTGAGTCCTCCTCTTCCCCGTCCTTCAATTAAGCTAGATCCAACCTTTGACCTCCTGCCCACGTCCTATCATATTTTTTTTTCCTGGCCTCGAAGGAGGTTCTCTTTCGGCATTTTTCGTTGTTTTCGTTTTTAGACCTCCAAGACAATTATTTGAAGTATTTTACTATCCATTATGCCCACCCATCATTTTCTGCTAGAGGCAGAACCTCCCGCCGGCAAAGAAGAAGAAGATCTTTTGTTAAACAAACAATTTCTGGCTATTAAATTCAGTATTAATTAGATCTTAAAATGCTTGACATAAATTCCGCATTAATTTCATGCCATATTTTTCCCGGATCCGGAATAGCTACGCGTGGCGGCGCTGAACGAGCCCTCGGTTGGCGATTTACAGGGAATCCGGGGTGCGGACTTTGCCTGCTATCGGCAGGGACGACGGGCCGGCCTCCTGGGCACCTTCAAGGCATTCCTCTCATCCAGGTAAGTACTCAGTACTGAGCTCGCGGCGAGTGTGTCTTATCTTTCTTTAGATTTTTCACGCGTCTTAGGCTTGTTTTCCTCCTCGGTTCGGTTTAGTTTTTGCAGCGCACCAAGCTATTAAGATTTTCCCCTAAATCCCCTTGTATTTGGCGCTTCAATGCGCCGCGTTGCTCATACGCCACGTTTCCCGGCTCAGCCGACACTTTGGGAACTCATTAGTTGCCGCATAATCTTGATATTTGAAGCGGAGCGAAAACGAAAACGAAACGGGGAGAAACAAAAAGAAAAAAAAATGAAAACGCGCTCAAAGTATGAAAACAAAAGCTTGGGAAAACAATTTCGTGCGATTTATTTACCCAATGCTCAGAACTCGAGTTCTGCCTGGTGGGTGGGTGGTGAAAAAACATAAATAAATAAGTGAACAAAGCACCTGCCCCTCAGACATCTTTTGATGGCAGTTTGTTTGTTCGGTTTGCGTGTAATTGCCGCTCGTATGAAGGCCATAACTTGAAACTCTCGCCTGCAGGGTACAGAATCTGGACTCGATTGTCCGTCCGGCTGACCGGGACCTGCCCGTGGTGAATACGCGTGGCGATGTGCTGTTCAACTCTTGGAAGGGTATCTTCAATGGCCAGGGTGGATTCTTCTCGCAGGCGCCGAGAATCTACAGTTTCAGTGGCAAGAATGTTATGACAGATCCGCTATGGTAAGATTTATACTTATAAATTAAATTTTGATGTAAATTAAATGTAATCCAAATCCCCTTTCAGGCCCATGAAGATGGTCTGGCATGGCTCCTTGCCGAATGGCGAGCGCTCTATGGACACATATTGCGATGCCTGGCACTCGAGTGCCCATGACAAGTCCGGTTATGCCAGCAACTTGGAGGGTCACAAGCTCCTCGATCAGAAGAGGCAATCCTGCGATGGCAAGCTGATCGTCCTGTGTGTGGAGGCTCTCTCGCAGGATCGCAAGCGAAAGAAGCGAGACCTCGGCGGCGGCAGCAGGTACTTACACGTGTCCTATTGATTTGGCATTAACGTTTTATGACTCGCCAACTTTGCTCATTACATTCTCAGTGGTCCCTGGCAATTGGACACTAAAAGAAATATTCTTTTCTAATATCTTAATGCCTAAAAAATATATTCTTCTGACATATTTAGCCTTAAAGTCCTCTAGACTTAGTTATACTATTTATGCCCATGCAGGGTATTTTCATTTTAGTCAAAAGCTCAAAACACATCGAAGGAGTCATTTCCGACCCTATAAATCATATATATTCTTGATCAGCACAAAAAGCCGAGTCGATCTAGATATCTCGTGCAGAAAAAAAATTTTTCAATTTTTTTTCAAAATTTTAAATCGTTAAAGTTGTCAAAAGTTTGAAAAAAATTTGAATTCTTTGTTTTTGTTAATTTGGTATGCAGTTTTATTAAACCAAGAAAATCTAACACAGAACAGCTTTCCGAATTGAATTTTATGCATTTTTGAGTTAGTTATAAGGGATTTAAAAATGGATCCCCAATGCAATTGCAAACTGGAAAGATATACCAACTTCGTCTCCCCGAAGTTAACTTCCTTTCTTCTTAAACCAATTTTTGTAAACTATTTTTCTCTCCGTGCACTTTCACAGCTACCGTAACAGTCGCAGTCACAGTCATGACGAGAGCGAAAGTCTGGAGTTCAGCACGGCCGAGGAGTATGCAGCGCATTTAGAAAATTTACTGCTGTAATCGGAACCGGAAGGAAGAAGCAGCGGCAAGCGAGTCACACACAGTCACACCAAACCATACTCATACATTAAACAAGGCGAAACAAAAACAAAAACAAAAGGAAAACATAACAAATCACAGCACACACACGTACATACTATACATTGAATGTAAACGTAAATCATGGCCATGCATATAATCAGCGAATTCCAAACAGAAACCAAAAAAAGAATACTCAGACGACAGATGGAAGTTGCATATAAATACATACTTATAATACCCCTTACGCATACACACTACTCGTAGGTAATGTCTAATATATTTCATAAACATATATAGCATATACATATATATATCGTGGATATATATACCGGGGGTATACTTTATGTTCAGGGCAAGGCGACGATGGTAACAAACAATTTTTTGTACAAGCAGGAAACGTATTCGTAGCTCGTAAACTGTAATTTGTAACGTAGCAATAGCCGTAACCGAAGTAATGTAATTTTTGTAATTACGTAAGCTCACCCTCGACACAGCAGCAGATCGAAGGATATAGATCAGAGGATCATACAGTCTCAGCCTCCGCCTACGCATTACTGGCCAAATTAGTATCCTACTTAGCTCGTATGGCAATGCACCCGAGAATCGAGGAACTCTTCACCGGACTCTGTATATGCGTGTGTATAAATGTGTATTTTTGTCGAACAAAGACTTCTAGATGTGTGTGTAAATTATAAGGAACCCGAGTACCGTTTTTAACTATCGCATGCAGCTCATTCTGCCCAGTCTATCTCTATACTATATACTAGGATATACTTGTATGTTTTACGACCGATTTCTACTCCAACCTTAGGCCAGAGATTTTCTACAGTGTAGCGCGCGATTCCAGTAAAAAAAAAAACAATACTCGTAATCGGAATCCCAAAATTCGGATCGCCGTTTTTATATATGCATCAGATGATGAGTAAGGATAATGCAATTATAGCGTAACAAGCCATTATCCAGCCAGCCCACACACAAAACACACCGATGGTAAATTCGTAATTTATTGTCATTCGATAACGAATACTTAACTAAATTCTAATTATAAATACCGAGCATAGTTAGTTATATAATAATTTCTTTCTGCATTTAACCAATGCATTTCCAACTACAAAATTTGTAATGTAATTAAATGTAATTGTAACGACAGTTAAGGTATTAATTTAAAACAATAAACCACGAATGGCGCTAAACAAAAAGCAAAGGGCGCGCCAGGTGACATTATATAGTACGATTAAAGTAAAATATATATATTTAGTGAAATCAAAACTGAAGTGCAGAACAGAACCCTCTAGTCCTAAGTCTAAATAATATGATGAAAAAAGAGCGTAACATGAATACATAATAGCATAATAATATAATTGAATAATACGAAATAATAAAACTAAACTATCAAAGGCATTACTATACATTTTTATTTGGAAGTGTAAAGAGGTAAGATTTATTTATTATTTTTCTCAGAAATCACAACAGATAATACAACCATGCTTGAATATGGCTTAAGCAATTTAATTTTTTAATATTTACTTCGATTTTAAATTCATTAAAAACGGTAATAAAAAGTTTCCTGCCATCATATTGAATTGCTTTCGGGTGTTTCGGGACTTAAAATATTAATATCCATAAACACGCATTGATATTTCAGTGTGAGCTAAATAATTCTGGCATATCGACAAATCCCCCTTGGATTCAGGTGCAATGACTGTCTATCTGCATTGAAAATATATATTTTATGTGAGGCTTGTACATTTTTCACAAAATAAAAAAAATATTACAAATTCATCTACGTGGGCTAAATCCAAGAAATTACTTTGATCAATATTTTTCATTTAGCTTCAAATCAATTTTCATTTCCACCCTCCAGAAAACAACAGCAGGGGCAGGCGGCACAGGAAAAAACAAAGAATATTTCTCCATTTTCCCCTCAGGACGAATGGCTATAGCACGTGTACCTGTATCTGTATCGGTATCTCTATCTGCATCCATAGCCACATTGAAGTTTGTCTGAGCCGCACGCTTGATAACCAATTTAAATAATTTTTCACTTGAATTAAAGCAAATGATTTCAAACAAAAAGAGCCACGCAGCAGCCGCCCCCGAAGCTCGGTGGGGCCATTGATGTGCTTTATGAATTTCAATGGCAGCCCAACATAGTTTCCGGATACGGATTTCGTTGCCTTCTGCCTGGAGATGCTCAAATATCCAGGCAGATACATCTATCTACAACCGCAGATACAGATACTTATGCCTTGCCTGGCTGCTGCTGTCAGGCAAATAAACAAACAAACAGGCCAAGAAGCCGCCGAGTGCCAACAGTTGCGATTTGGTTTGGGATTGGGACCGCCAGCTCCGATTGTTCTCGAGGCCGCAATATCATGGGGAATGTGGCGGAGACCGCCACTTAGGCACAAAGCAATCAAGCCAGATGAGCGGGATGAAATTTTAATTTAATGAATGAATGCGGAAATATTGTATTAGTTGATTAGCTGTGAAGCCAAATCAAAATTGTGCCTTCCATTCGCACAAACAGGGTAAATTTATTCCAAATCCATGCTTTAATTTTTGGGAATATTTTATTTCATTTGTTGTGAGTGGAAATAGTGAGAGATTTCGATTATTTATTTAAAAAAGTGGATGACAAGAGATACTATTTTAAGGGGAGCTATATTTTTATACTAATTCTTCATGTCGGTAACGTTTTTAGTTTCAATATACATAGATCTATATCTCTTAAAACCAATTTATAGGTATTTCTGCCTTGTATATCGTTTTGTATTGAATTCATTATGATTACAATGGATATAAACATTCTTTATTGTTGTATGATACTCTCTATTATAATAACACAATATATTTTACAAGTCAAACAAGGACATTTCTAAATTCAGGTTGTGCACACACGTGATACAACTTTTTAATAGTTTACCAACCGCTTCATGCAAGTATTTTTTGTCAGTTTTCAATTATAAGCCTTGCTCCGAGGTCTGCCAGCCCAACAAATAAAAAAAAGTTTTAAATTCCGTGCGGCTGACAATGTCATTCATCATAACACATTTAGCCGTGAGCTTATTAGATTCCACTTTTGTGCCCAGGCGCATTTACAAGTTTTCCGAGCTTGTTTTCCAGCTTCTTCGTTTTTCTTTTGCCGCTGGATCTTCTCTTCTTTTTTTCATTGAAACCAGGAAAAACACAAAACAACTTTCCCACACACATACGCATGCAGCATCCGTAACAAGTCCGCACACACACACATGGCCAGGCGCGTACATATGTCACGAATAAAAACAATTTATCATTTAGCTTATCAAGACGCGCGGCCTAACGTCCATTATTTTGCGGACGCAACGCAGAGAATTGTTTTTTGATGATAGCCTCCAGTTGTGGGTCCTGCCGAGGGTTACTATCAGGGAGGGATTCTAGGATACTAGAATGGATACTAGGGGGCTTTTTAGTCCAAGGTGAGGGACACGAAAATAGCAAATGTTTGAGAAATGATTATTGCTCTGCCCGCATGTGATTTACAATCTATCATGGCCATTGGGAATTTCGAATTACAGAGAGTTATGAATGGGTTCTAATCAAGGCAGATGAGCCTGTGGAGTTTACTCCACTTCAAGTTCAACAGAATAATATATTGTATTATTTGAAACCTTATTGGGTTCTCTGTTTACTTGTGTCCCTAAAAATAGGTAATATATTTTTAATAACTGCATGTCAGTTGCTTACCTTTTCCTTTATATATATCATACTTTCCTTTGGAGGCTAGCCTTTATTAAGGCCAGTATTTAATTTTTAATCGCTTGAATGCTAGCCGTAGCCAAGACAGACAATTACAGCCAAACAAATAACACGTATGAATATATGCCTCGGGTGGGACGGGACTAAGAGTTGGGGCTGCACGGCCGACTCACGTGTAACTAAAAACCAACAATTATGCATGCCAAAACCGCAGTAACCGATGCCACGCCCACAGTTCCACAGTAGCTGGGACACAGCCCACATCCCAGAGTCCTCGCGACGTCAACACAGCGGCGACAGCGACAGCGGAATCGGAATTTGCATAACTTTGTATGAGATTCTTGCAGAGCAGCCACGTCGAGCCACAATATCATTCATACATGCATGCAGCTCATACTCATACTCACATGCACTGAAAAAATTGAAGAAAATAGACAACGAATAAAGTAAAATATACCTTGGCTAATTTCAGGAAAGGTAAATAGATTTAAATACTTTCTAGACCGCTTCCAAATATATATATATTTAATTTGATGTAAAGAAATCTCATCATATTCATACATTTTCTTTCAGTGCACCGATACAGCAGGGCACGTATACACTGGCAGACAATGTCAGTGAGCCGTCAACATTTCAACTTGTCATGCGAGCAGGAAAAGCGAGGAAAGCTCGCTGGGAAAGGCGGGCAAATCGGGAAAAGGGCCAGGGCAAAGGTGAGGCAAGGGGCGTGCCGCAAGTCGAAGACATTGCTCTGGGCTGCTACATGGCCTACCTTCAATTTGTCCGTGTGCCCCGCCATCCGATAACCACGAAGGTAGAAACCAACTCTGGCCCAAGCTGGGGCCTGAGCTGCGGCATCGGCTTTTGTTGCATACTTTGCTGCGTTGCCGGCAACGTATTATTTCAGTTACGTTTTGCGGAAATGCAACTGAAAACTTGCAATTTGTTTGACGTTTCGGTATTTTTTCGTATGAATTTATAATGCCCTCGACTTCAACACCTGTCGTTCACCGTTTGTTCCTTTATTCGTTTGTTTGCTTGTTTGTTTGTTCTTCGGTTGGTTTTTCAGCTTTCTGTTGATTTATAATGCAGACGATCCTCCTCCGTTCTGCCCTGAGGCTTATTGATATACATATATCAGGAGGCATCGTGATTAGGTAAAAAGTCAGCAAATATCCGTACGCGAATATAAACACACATAGTCGCATTCGAAGGCACTGAGGGTGTGTGCACACATGCGTATTTATGTTATGCCGCCGCAGTAACACACAAAAGGTAGCAACTTTTAATTGAAAAACTTGGGCACTTACAACTTGCAAGGCAGTGGCAGCAATGGTGGTTCCCCTTCATCTCTATTAGCAGTTGCAGGCGTAGGTGTAGTCGCCGTGGCAGTAACTCTAGCTGTAGCTGTAGCTGTGGGCGCGGGTGTGGCAGAGTGGCAAGTGGCAATACTGGCATTGTCGCCGGCATTACTCAAGTTGTTAGCAATGTTTACAAACACAATAAGCAAATACGCCAACGATAGCGGTAGTGCCAACAAGTGCACTGAAATAACAAATATTATGAGAAGAGCATAGGAGAGAATTAATACTAATTAACATATAATATTAGATTAATAGCTTACATTTCATATTTATAAAAAATAATGTTTTTGAAATAATATACAAATGGTAGCTATTAAATATGGTATTTACAAAGCTTCTGCAATTACTACATCTTTATGCGGTTTACTTTTCTATTAATACTATTTTTATTAAATTTTCTGCTAATATTCTGATATTTTCCAGTGCCACTCCTTGTTGTTAGTGAACAGGTTTAGTTGACTTAAAGACGGCATCGTCAACACGACTCCTTGTTTACATAGAAAGTTTTTCCGCTCTCCATTTCTTTTGGCCCGGCCGACTGATAGTTAAACAGCACTGAGCAAAGTCTGGCTGCGAAAACGTGCGATAAGTTTTCCATTTTGCTGTTGGGCAAATATTTGCCACCTCAGGTGCCCAGCATTTACCACCAGTTCCCTGTTCAGGTGCACTGCAATGGCCACGCCCCCAAATTTGTACTCATCTTTCGCTAATTAAACTAACCAGAGGCTAGCTGATTGGGAAATCCAAATAAAACAATCAAATCATAATGCTAAAATGCTTAACTTTTAATTAGCAGTCGAGGCGCGTGCAGCCCTCGAAATACATAATACATAATTAAAATTATGATTTGGCTTTTTGGGAACTAATCTATTTTGGCCGGAATTGTAATTGGCAGACGGAAATTTCATATGCAAATTGTATTAGGTATCAGGGGAGGTCCTGGGTAGGGGCTCCTGGGTGCCTGGGTGCCTGGCTCCGCCTGGCTTCGTGTCCGTAGTTCATGGCAGCGATTATCGAGTGCAGCTGCAATGGCAATCCACTTGCATAAGCGAGCGGCTGCTAACGCCACCGAAAGCCGTCGCTATATCATGCCGGCCATAAGCCTATTAATAGCCCCTGTCTGCGATCGGACAAGCAATTAAAATTGACTGCACTTTTGAGCGGATGCCCTCCAGCCACATGGGTGAGCGTCGTTTCCCTCTCCGCCGCTCTCCCGTTGTTCCAGCTCTCCGGTTTCTCTCCCCTCCCCAACGCCCCGGAAAATTGTTCAATTGGGCGTAAATGTGTCGGCATCATCGCCACGTGCACGTGCTCCTGTTACTCTTTCAGCCCGGCAAACTGGCAATTATTTAGGACCGTGCTCGTCGCGTCTGCAAAACATAAATTTTTCCCAACGAAAATGTCTTGTAATTCGGGCCAATGTGCGGTAGATTGTTGCTGTTGTCACCTGACTTCGGGCTTTGATTTGTTGTTGTGCCAAAATGACAGCGGATGTGGCGTGGCATCAAGTATACGCCAGGTGTGACGCAGATCCGGTCAAGTTGGTCAAGAGAACTGCGGGGCAGCCATGTTTATTAATAAACAAATTATGCTCTGGTTAGTTAGTGAGTAGAATCCTTTGAGCTTTAGTCAGTAACGGATTTTTAAAATAACTTTTCAGAGCTTATAATATATCCTGTGAAAAGATTGGGGAAAATGGAAAGCTTTTGCTGCTGGAAACAGGTCACAGGAGAACTTAACTGATTCTTGAACCAAAGCTCTTTTCTTTGCTTCTTAAAAAGAAAGGTAAATTGAAAAAATCTTTCATTTCTAACAAATTTAACAAAATTTATAAACCTATATCATATGACATATTACTGTAAAATTTACAAATTAATCTTGTAGTATTTATTTTATTTTGTTTCTATATAGTTCTTAAGATAAGTTATTTTTATTTATAATAAATTATTTTATTTCCTAACTATAAATATTATAAAGCTCGCCCAATTATCGTTTAGATTTTGCAAATTAAATAGTACAAAACCTTACTGGTTCCTTGTGAACCAAAATGCACATCACTATGAACCGGATATCCTTGTAAGTCCTGAAGCTCCATCCAAGTTCTGCTCCTTCGAAAAGCTCAAAACTTTCCTTTTTACAACAGCCATTATAAAGTAAAAACACCACATCCCGTTAGTTGTTTTAAATTTTATTTAATCGTAATTCAATCGTAATATGTAAATAAATAATGCAAATCCAAAGCATTCAAAAGTTAGCTTTAATGGTTAATAGTAAATCATTATAACTTCAGCGAATATTCGCCAGAATTTTCCGGTTACTAAATTCCTTACTTAAATTTGTTTATTTTTTATATTCGTGCACTTTGGCCCAACGCGAAAATTGTAAATATTTGCACTTTGTTTTGTTTTTTATATTTGTTTTGTTTTTTTCAATAACTGGTAAGTTAATACATATATTAGGGTTAGCATTTATGCCACTGGTAAGTAAGTATGTATGTAGTTTTTTTGTTGTATAGCTAGAATAATCATTTGGTCTTGGTTTCAAGCCGCGCTGAAACGCATATGTTTTGTAATTCCATTATCGATAATACTTTGATAAATGTTAAACTCGCGAAAATTGTTGCTGTTGCTTAGGTTACATTGAAACTCGAATTTGCTAAACGTACACGGAGCTGTTCCCGATTGGATCGCGGAATCGAATCAGGAACAGATCTGATAAATTCGGTTTAACGCTAGAAGTGTGTATCTTATATGTTTTTTGCATTCATAAGTTTTTCATTATGCAGTATAGTTAACCATAGGTGGTAGGCTTAGGTTGGCTTCGATCGGTGTACATGTGTTACAGTAGAGTTAGTTAGTATGTTAGTTGGTCAAGATTTCCATTTTGATTCGGTGTTTTTCGGTTCCAGTTTTGGCTGATATGTAATCTTTCGAAAGGGGTTTAGTTGGATTTGAGAACAGAATGGTTATTTCTAATACGAATTTGGATATCTTTAACAATCAACGATAACACTAAAATATAATGCAATGTAAATTCATTGAAATTCAATTGGTTAAATCTAGAAATTAAATTTGAATAACAATTACAAATCCAGCAATTCCAAGTACGTTTTAACATTATTGTCCTCTGCTTTTTGCGTTTTCTTTAAATGTGTCTATTTGTGCGTCAAGTAAATGTGCAATTACAACGATCATAATAACAAATATAATTTAAATGGGAAACTTAATGCCGAAAATAAAAGTGAAAAGTGCATTTGAGGGTATTCAGATTGGACAGAGTTGAGTGTGTGCTTTATCATTCAATTATGCATATCGTAAAACAAGTACGACGAGAAAGCGTAAAAATGCATAATTAAATAACTAATAGTTTCAACACACTTGCCGCGCCATGTTTACGAGAGTATTTACACTAAAATATCGAAATCACCCAAACGCTGCGTTTAAAATTAGTTGCTGGGCTTTGATAGGCCCTCCTCCAACAAAAGGATCCGCCTCTCCACACTACTATCACACGGCCCTGATCAGTTCCTACATCAGGACGCAGCGGTTCCAGCGCGAGGTGGCCCTCACGCCCTCGCCCTCATTGAGGGCCATCGTCTTGGACCTCATCAGGTTGAGATCCGTCCGGATACTGGGGCGTCGGGCATTCGGGGTTACCACTCCGCAGGCATCGCTGAAACGTCGCTTGATGGACAATGCGTTCTTCTTGGTCCCGCCCACCGCTGATCCATGGGGCGGCAGGGGCGATGGTGCCCCAAAAACGGACACCAGTCGGCGGTGGTGATTGGGTGTCATTTCCAGCGGCAGATTGGACACCGTGAAGAGCGAGTGGAAGAGGTCATCTATGCGGTAGTTCTGTCGCGCCGAGCACTCCACAAAGGTGCAGCAGTTGTCCTGGCCAGCTATATAGCCCATCACCTCGTCCACTTGGACAGTTCTAGGAGATAAATCATAGTTACGCAATTTAGTATGCATTATATTTATGTATATTAATTATTTTTACTCACTTAAAATCGCGATCACATTTATTGCCTGCCAAAATCATAGGAATCTTGGGAAGACTCTTTTTTTTGAACCCAGATCCCGGATTGAGAGCTGCCCATTTGGTCTCCAGTATGTTTTCCCGCAGGCGAACCACTTCCTCGAAGGACTCGCGGGAATCCATGCTGAAGACGAGGATGAAGAGGTCCCCTGCAAAAGCGCAACCGAAAACCCATTAAGGGAGACATTAATCGCCGTTTGATTTAACAAATGCAAATTTATTGCTTATTTATGGTCCCCGTATCTATGACCTACGCACTCGCAATTTTCCAGACACTATATAAAACGCTCCTGACATCTGAAGCTCATCTCCCCTATGTTAATGTGCTCGGGATTATGCGTGTGTGTCTGTGTGTGGGTCTGACTTGTTTAGGGTAATTCGGATTCACCGAAAATCAGGAATGGGAAAATCGATAGCTGCATGGCACTGATACATGAATACCCTACTTATTGTTAGCCATTCATATTTATTTATATATTCGTACGCCATTATGAGTAAAATTAAGTTCTTGCGAGGGCGTGACTTAACAATAAATAAAGTATTTTTATTGGTAACCAAAGAGAAATAACGGAAAAAGTATCGGATAAGCGAGGCTTTTTCTATATAAAGATGTTGTTAAAATGCTTAGGGGGTTTTTGCTTCTCAACTCTCTAAAGTAAAAGTAATGTCTATAATTTACTATAATCTAATTTGTATATACCACTAGGCCTAATTATATTATTAGAAATCTCCTTAACAAGGCTTGAATAAAATATGATATACATATTTTCCTTCATAACGGAGTTCCCCCTAAATAAATTATACATAACAAAAAACTAATTTGTAGGACTTTAGTTTCAAGGTTCTAGAAACCTAATTATAGGTGCAGGTCTTTTAGTTTGAATTTTAACGACACCCTTGGCTTACCAGAGTGACCCCAACTCCGTGAATATCCCTTCAAAGGGTATAGAGCCCAACTTTTTGGGCGCCAGCTGAGCAGCTGAGCCTGATTTTTATGATAATTTATAGGACATTAAATGGCACCCAATGAAGGCGGTCGACAACTTAAGTGATGGTACGTGCGTTTCTGGCCTGACCCGAATGCCGGCACACACATGCAACTATTTGATGGCCAAGACGTCACTCACTCACCAGTTAGAAATGACAAACGACGCATTGCGGGAAACGGATGATAGCCAGAAGTATCCAAAATATCCAATTGAAAGACCTCATTCCGTATGCGATACAATTTGCGATGGAACTCCTCAATGGTCGGCGTGTAGGCTTCCTCAAACCTATTGCCCAGGAAACGTGCCACAATCGACGACTTGCCGGCGCGTGATGAGCTGCACGGGAAATGGAAATTAGAAAACGAGATTGGGTTTGAGATTGGGAATCTGATTGACGCTGGCCAGTGGCCAAGTCTCTGGTCAAGTCATTTCCATCCATTGAACTTTAACACGGCAGAATTAAGTCGGACTGAGGTAGAAGTGTAGAGTGTAGTACACAGCAATTGACTCTTTTGGTTTGTATTATGATTTAAATTAGTAGGCGAAAAGAGATATACAAATTTATATCAAAAAGTCGTCAAATTAAATAAAGAAATATTTTAAATAATTTAATATCTTCCATCATATTTTTTCTTTCATTTTTTAGGGTTTTGAAATATGATTCCTTTTAGTTTGATTTAAAAATTATGAATTCAAATTAAATTCAGAACAAACAATTCTCTGTCAATAATTCTTTGCAATTCCATCTTTTTATAAAATACAAATTTATTAACTCTTGGAAATGACTGGCAATTTCAAGTTGCAGTGGCAGCAGTCACCTCCAAAAAAAAGGACCCCATCACCCGTTTTTCAACCGTGCGACCAACGTATCGTATACGTACCCAAGCATAACGAGTCGATAGCAGTTTTTGGCCGATGGCAGGCTGTCGTCGCACAGCGACAACCCTGCACCGGGGCCATAGATGAAATCATCCGCCTGCTCGATGGCGTCCAGATTCGAGTGGTGCTCCAGCATGTGGGCCTGATGAAGCTCCGCGGTGGTCACGAGGCGGCTGCTGGTCACGGCTCCGCTATTGCTGCCGCTGGCCGTATCGTCCAGAAAGGTGACCACATGGGCCTGTGGCGGCGATGGCTCATCGGCGGCGCCAAATGAGGCGGAGTGGGTGGCGTTGGGGTGATTGGGATAGTGTGTACCAGCACCGGGTATTGCACCTGTACCCCTAAAACCACCCGCTGTGGCGGCGTTTGTCTGTTGATTGCTTTTGCTGCTGTTGCTGGTATTACCGATGCTACTGTTGTTGCAATTGTTGCTTCTGCTGTTGTTGTTGTTGCTGGCGCTATTATTGCGACTTGCTGTTGCTGCTGTTGTTGCCGGGTCACTTAGTGCCACATCCACATAGTTGTTGTTGTTGCTGCGCGCACAAAACCAATTTTTGCAACGATACATTTTGACTGTGTCATTTCCGCCACTTTAACGGTTGTGTCGTCGTGGCTTAATTTGCGGTGTCCTTGATTTGTTGCTGTCGTCCTTGCTGCACCTGCAACAACCATCCATGCCGCAAGTCAGATGCACTCGCAATTTGCATTTTCAATCATTCAAGTTTTGTCGCTAACAAGCTGGCATTTGCATATGTAGGAGCAGAGCTCCGCCGTAATGGTATAACTTTATCCACGACGAGATGCATTAGCCGCCAAACTGCAAGAAGATGTAAAAACGTTGAGATGCATTCAGCTCGTAAATATGAAAAAGTTACGCCAGTTACTTTAAGAACGGGGAAGTTGCCCGTGTTGCACTGGGAAAACTAAACTCTAATATTCTACTTCTTTTTATTTATGAGTATGTAAATTTTTACATGAACTAGATTTGCAATCAGAAAAGGAAAATTTTGTATTCTTAAAGCTTAAATCCAAGCCTGCAGTCAAGTGTTATGTCCTACAATCAAGGCTTAATGAGCATTGGAAATATAAGTATATGCTTCAAATAAAGAAGAGTTAATCTTAAGATGGTTCTACTTAATTATCTTTACCACACAGAAAAAAGTTATCGCACAGAAATTCTTACGAAAATTCGTAAAACTTTGTATAATCTTCTTAAGTACATAATTTCTTTCTCTGCACGAAGATGGGTGCCGACTTTGCAAACATTTTGGAGGCCATTAAGCACGGTAATTGCCCCAAGCCCATCCAGACGAATAAACCACACAAAACGTTAGGAAAAAAAGTAGAAAAGAGGAGAATGGGAGGAATGCAACCGGAAGGGGAATCCTCGACTGCCACATACCCGTCACAGTCACCCGGAACGAGATTATCTGCAGCTGGGCAAAAGTCTTCTTGTTACCTAAATGCAGTATAATCCGATTGTTGCCAAATTTACTTTTACATTTTTACCACTTTGTAGCTGAAGTGATGTTTGCCTGAAATGTAGTAAACTTTCTGAACTTTAAGTTAAAATGCAGTTTAATCCCAAGAGATATGAACGGGCTTGGAAATTTATTAAAGTGGTTATTTATCTATTTAAAAATGTCTAAAACTAAAACTTTTTTTTGAGCAATTTTCCGGGAAAAATACGTCAAAAATTTGTATCATAAATATATCTAGTTTAATTCAATTTTAATTTAGGGAAGTAATCAATCAAACGCGTAATCAAGTTAGCAATTTTTAAATTGAAAAACAAAATGTTTCACTATTTGCACATTTTCCATGGTAATCGGTGCTTCCATGTTGAATTGCCCGAAACCTCTAGTTCATCAAAGCCAATGAAAAGGAAATTCTGAAAAACCAGCTGCACTCCGGACATTAAAAGGGCTATTGCCTGACCCCCATTCTACCCCACCATTCAAGCCATAATGGGCATCTTGCCGCAAATCTAATTAACTTTGTTTTAGCATGCTACGTGCTCCGTGTACATCAGCCGGAATGGCCACATTGGCTCAACTCATGCATATCGCATGCAGCGGGCGAGGGGGAGGCAGGAAGAGAATGGAGGAAGTGGAGCCGAAATGGGGGTGCAAACGGAAGGGGGGGAGGGGTTCCTGGCGAAATCAGACCGGAAAGAGCCGTAACGGGTGCTCCGCGGACGCCATAATCGAATGCACCAAGTGCTCGTACTCGCGCTCAGATTTCAGCTCATTTTCCCCTTCTTTTTTCGTGTTGCAAAGGGAGGAGGTACAAAGGACGAAGGACGAAGGCCGGTTTAAATGCCAGCTCACAAAGGGAGCTCTAGTGGAAAATTCGCAAGGCACAAACTTACACCCCAAAAAGCGAAAACGAAACTGAATTCGAATCCCTCCTCTCCGAATAAAGGCCATTTAGCCCAACTACTGGTAATTTTTCCCATAATTGATTTTGGCTTGCGGACGGCTTGTCCTTTCATCTGACAGTGTGTTAGTGTGGGAATCTCATACACCCATACATACACCACCCATCACATCCATATAAATGACTTTTTGCCTTGGCCGTAAGAGAGGAAAGAATGACAGAAATGGCAGCGGAAACGCCTTAAGACAATGGCGACATTTGTGAGGCAATGTGAAAATGGCTGCTGTACGAAAACAGAACGAATAATCAACTAAGTGACGGAGCAGTTCTCTTATTTCCTGTGCACCTGTTCAGGAGCAGGATCAGAGGCGTCTGTTTGAGAAAAGAATAAAGGGGGCCTTTTATTAATTAGAGTGGAAGACTATTCAGTCAGAATTATATCGAAATGTTAGATTTTGGGAGGGTATTTAGGTTATGACTATAATAAATCATCTTGCTTAGCAAAAACTTGATTTAGCATATAAAATTATCTGAACCTTTACAGATGCATATTATTTGCATTCATGAAAAACTGTCTCACATAACATTTGATTATTCCAACTGAGGAAAAGCAAAAGACTTGTAGAACACATATCGTTTTCGGAAGCGGAAACAGCAAGGAAATCGTTTCCGACAAATCGATGTCTACAAACTTGGATAAAGTTAAGAAAACGAAACTGATAAATAAAATAGATGAGAAATAAACAGAGATAGTTGAAAATGCATTGCACGTATGGACAGCCAACACTTTGTTGTTGACAGATTACGATGCCGGTGAAGTAAGTTTGCGTATGACAAGTGCCACTTGAGGAGAGATTCTTGTACACACCCCTTCGAAAGCCAGCACCCCTGCGATATGGTACTATATAGTATATAACGTCTGCTGTTGTTTGCTACTCTCTCCCCCTCCCCTCATATTCGTTCCAATTTCACCGCAAAAGTCTCAACAATTTCTCATATTTGTTTACAATTCGCGCATACAAATGCGCAAGGTTGTCCGTCCGCCGAACTGTTCGGCATTGCAAATAGCATATGGAGGAGGCAAGCACCCATCGGTGGTGCTCTCAATGGGTTGCTGCCATAAGTTGTCATGTCGCAAATGGGAAGTGGAGTGCCATCGACACCTAATCTAAAGGATACATAGCGAGAAATCAAAGTTATTATATTTTAAGAAAATTTATTCCACTAATAAGAGAGTCTTCAAAACAAATGAAAATATAAATATGTTTCTTTTAGTGTACAATATGTGCTATGTGCAAATAAATGTACTGATATTTGCGGTATAGGTTTAGTATAAGGTTTACTTTCAGAGATATCAGACCAACGGAAAATCACATCGAATAAATTACTTAATATATTAAAAGAGTAAAGCCTTCTTATAACATATTTATTTATTGGTTTATGTATATCAAAATGCAATACTGTTTCCAATAAAATATTAATAAAACAAATAAAAAATCAATGTTAAACATCGTGAAACACAGCTTGATGTTTGAGACCTGGAGATAAACTGACAAAGTGGCATTCACTTCGCTGGCTGAAAAATCGCCGTAAGGTCCGCGTTACGGAAAACAAAAGTCGAAAAAGATTAGCTGCGTGGAGGAGAGAGAAACTGAGAAGCAGAGAAACTGAGAGACCGAGAGTAGTAACCGCAGGCTGTGGGCATCAATTACGGCGATAACATTGAGCGATAATCGAACCGGGGTTATCTCGACGAGCACCTGGAGCTCTCGCCGCTGCTGTTGATGCGACTCAGTGGGTTTAGTCAGATTCCGACAGCTTGGGGCGATGGATCCATCCTCCAGCAGAGTCGCGTTAGAGTTAGTCGAGGAGGCAGATTCGGAGACGGGAACGGTGATGGGGACGGAGACAGATGCCTCCAGGGTGGCGGAGCATCGGGGATATGCCGAAGCGCTCTCCTTGTCCGGAAGGAGTAACAAGCGACGCTCGAACCGGAAGTCCTGTGGCACAGGACGGATCCTGACTGCAAGCGCCATTTTCTTGGCCCTGATGCTCATCGTCGGCGCCATTTTCATGCACTTAAGGCACAAGCATCATCTGGGCAGGCTGCACGTCCATCTGAGGGACCATTCGGAGCACCTACCCCTGGTGGCCGCGACTGGAGTGGGTGAGTTGCCTCAAGGGCCCTTGTTCACTTGTTCAATCGCTGAAAGCTCTTCGCTAACGGATAATTTTATAAGCGGTTTACATTGTCGGGCTCTCTGTCTCTTCCCCAGTTGACTGATTAGAAATGCCATTAGAATGATGAGAGTCCATCTCATCAATGGCGATAGCAGATCACACAGTTACGAATCTAAGGCGATAAGAAATATCTCACATTTAATACTAAATCCCTCAGACCAGCATTACAATGTGTGAACAAACTTTGTTTAAACTCGGATTAATTTAATAATAACAAAACTAAATAAAATACTTTAAGAACTAGTAACAATAAAGTAAGCTATAAATTTATATGCTGTGCATGTGTTCCTTAGTTAAAGAGAACTCTAGTCCGATTCAATGGAAACCATTCGCATTCACACACAAGCCTCGTGTGTGGCTAAACTACTCAAAAACTATGCGCAACAGCAATTTAAAGTTGTTTTACCAAGCACCCAATGAACTACGCCCAGTTTGTTCATGGTTTCTTAAAAGTTTCCCCACTCACACATACAGCGAGTGTGGTTTGTGGGGCTAAAAATGTGAGAGGTCTAAGGGTTATTTAGGCCCGGGAGCAGCCAGTCCTCTGTTATGCCCTTGCTGTAATCTATATTGTGTGGTAAATAGTTTCGATTAAACGGCTAATTGTGCTTGTTCTTGGTATGCATTTTGCAGCTGCCCAGACGATAACAACATTCCAGCCAGCAACGGATCCTCCTCCATCTCCTGCGACCCAAACTCCTCCACCATCACCTCCTCCATGGGTGGTAAGCGATGAGTGTCTGGCCTGCATGTCCATTGCCTCCACGAATAATGTTCCTGGAGTTTGCAGGAGCAAAGAAGGCGCTGAATGGCCGTGCGGCATTTATCGCATCTCCATTGGCTACTGGCAGGACGCACAGCGTTTAATTGATCCAACGGACGAGCTGGCAAAGGGTAATACACTTCAAAATTTAAGGGGCTCAAGTCAGATTACTTCTGAGTATTTTTCAAATCTCCACTTAATGAGTTTTTTTTTAATTTCAAAATGACTACTCGAAACGTCTTCATTTTTTGTTTTGTTCTTTCCTTGCAATATTAAGAGTTGAAATATATTTTCAAATGTAATACATTATAATTTGATTTAAGATTCAAAAAGTTAATTACTGCTATTAATCACTAAATTAATTTTAAATTTAATTTCATAACGCAAATTTCTTGACTGGGTCACATTTTGTTTCTCTGCAATCGTATCCATTGGCTGACTGTCACTGACGTTTAATAACCATCCATTGACCCATTCACATCTCTGCTCTCTTCCAGACTACGAAGGATGTGTGGTGGACGATGGCTGCGCCGGAAGGATTGTGCGGAGTTATTTGGAACGGTATGCCTATGACTGCAACCAAGATGGACGGATCGAGTGTCGGGATCATGCGATACTTCACATGCGAGGACCCGGTGGCTGCCGGAGGCATGAGCTCCTTACGTCCTCAGTTGAAAAGCGGCTGAATGTGTGTTTGAAATAGAAGGAATTAACGTAGAACAGCGGGGCGCCATTATTATTTAAGCTGCTGGCGCTCCATTTTGGGGTCAAAAGTAGAGGGTTAGGATAAATAATGCTAACAACTCAATGAAGAGCAGCAGCGCGGCATAAAGGTCGTCGTACAGCTTGGTGGCGGCTGCTCTGCCACCCATGATGCACTGCACATGATACATGAGGAACTGCAAATGATTCGTGGTTATGCTGGGGACAGTGGCAAAAGAGAATATATAAAAATGTCCTTACGAACGCCACAACGCAGGCCATTAAGATGGCAAACGGATAATACATCCATGTCAAATTCAAAATGCTATATAGGACAATGCAATATAGGCTCAGCAAGTAGAATCCCAAGGTCATCAGATATATGTATAGTCCACCAGTTGTGATATCCGTCTGCATATTGGAACGATCTACCTCATGGAATATGCAATTTTATTTAATCTTCCACTTACCGGCATTGTAGCAGCCAGTATAACGCAGAATAAGAATATCACGGAGGCTATCAGAAAACCGGTCAGCATATGAAGGAGTGAGTCATCAACCATCAGCGCAATAATGGGAACCACCAGGAGCTCTACCTGGATATATATAATAATCGATCACTACTCTTTCTCAACATAGCAACATCGAGGGGTTGAATAAATCGGTATCCTACTCACTATAAACAAAGTCATTATCCAGTTCAAGCATTTCGTTCTTCGTATAGACTTGCTAATGGCGAATATCATGAAAATGAAAAGACCAGCAACAAATGCCAGGAACAAGGCTGAGGAGTGGTTCTTCGCCATCAGATAACAAAAATTGCTGGTAAAAATGATTAAAATACATAACCAATTCGTGGAACTTATATCGGTAACTTTACCTTAGTAATGTCATTGCCAGGATCCATTGCAGAAGACCAGCGAAAACGAAAGCAAGGAATAGAAGCAAAACCTTGATTGTGAAACGTCGGCGGTCTGCAACTGTTTCTGTTTCAAAAAACGGCCAGATTACAACGTTTGGTTCGAACATGGTTTCCCATATATAATTTTGATATTTGATGTGTGGCGCCAGGAACTCTGAGACATCTGGATTTCATATATGAAGTTCATTCCATTTCCAAACACTAATTGTACATCAAATCGGGCCGAAAAGTTGACGTAGAAAATGGGAACAAAACAAGCGATGCCGGCGATTCGGCGCGTACATAATTGAACTCGACAAAAGTTTATAATCTGGCAGCATTGCGAACAAATTGAACAACAAGTCGCAAGTGTGTAATAATTAAAAGTTTTGCACAAAAACGGTCCGAGGAGTGGCAAAGTTTGGTTCAAGTTTTAAATCATTTAGCAGACGACGGACTAATTGCTGCCATGTCGCATTAATTTCTTGGAAGCTGATAGCCGGCTCGCAGTGCGTATGCGCAATGCGTTCATAGTTCGAATGTCTTTGGTAAATATTTACAATAGCTTTCTGTTTGTTTTACTGATTTAAACTCTAACGAAGTAAAACCATTGTTATTTAAGTTGTAAATTAAGGGAAAATTCTGTCTTAATTTTAAGTCATTGTAGTTATTATTTGTTGATAATTTTAAGATTTTGTATTCATTAAAATTATATTACTTTATAGCTGAGACTTTAATTTTATTGAAATCGGAGTACTATATCATATAGCTGCAATAGGAATGATCATCAATTGCATGTTTACCGCTCTCTGTGTACCTCTTTTACTCTTTGACTATCTCTGAAGCTCTTTGCCCAACTCTATAGAGTTACCTGGTATTCTCTCCCGCTCCCGCTCTCACATTCTCTGTTCTCTTTACTCGTGGACTATAAATAGAGGCACTGCCGTCCCGCTGGCCTCAGTCTGTCCGCGGCCTCCCCGCTGTTTACACCTATGGTGATAGTGAGTGATAGTGATTACCCTTCGACCTGACCAGTAGAATATATTTGGATAACCAGGATGACGTGTCCTCATCTGCGGTAAGTCTTAAACTCTTTATAATGTATATAGATGCTATCAGGCCTATGTCTAGAATAAGATGTGTTAGTTGGCTATGCATTTCTTTTCCAATTAATTCCCTTATTGTCATGCACCTTCTTACCTAATTTATATTTAAGTGATACATCGATTTAAATAAGGGATATCTCTAAACGTATACCCAATGTTTACAGCCTTAATAACTTAATTAAAATTATTCACAAATATAGATTTCTTATTATAGTTTCAAAATTAACATGACTTTGGTCCCAACTTTTGCTACGATATTATATCCTCGCATGGAATTATAATTTCAGTCAGCAGCTTGAAATTCAGTGAAGGAATCGTTTCCGACCCCATAAATCATATATATTCTTGATCAGCACGAACAGCTGAATCGATCTGGCCATGTTTGGGAGAAATTTTTTTTTCGAATTTATTTTCGAAATTTTATGACTAAATTTTATATTTTCAATTGGTAAAAATTTGACAAAAATTTAAATTTTTTAAATTTTAAAACTGAGTAAGCAGATTCGTTAACACTACAAAAACTAACACAGAACAGCTTTCCGAATTGAAATTAGTGTATATTTGGCTTAGTTATGATATTTGAAAAATTTAGATTTTCCCAAAAAATTAGTACATAACAAGAAAGGAAGCTAAATTCGGCACGCCGAAGTTTATATACCCTTGCAGATAGAAATTCTATGACTAGGAATCCATACAATATAAATTATATATATTTGTGTTAAAAAACAATGAAGTAATACCTGCTTTCATTTCATTCACCTATACATATTATATTTGCAGCTTTTCGTTCACAGATTTCCATTTTTCTTCTACATCAAACAATAGTTTGTATGGCACCTATATGATATAGTCGTCCGATTTTCATGAAATTTGACACAAAATTTAAGACTAATATAAAATGGCTACACCTCAAATTTGATGAAAATCTGTTGAAAACTGAAAAAGTTATAATTTTTAATTGTATTAATTTCTCTATCGTTCCTATGGGAGCTATATGATATAGTAGTCCGATTTTCATAAAATTTTATACAAAATTGTAGAGTATAATAAAATGGCTATATCTCAAATTTGATCCAATTCTATTGAAAACTGAAAATGTTACAATTTTTTTTGTAAAAATTTTCCGATCATTCCTATGGCAGCTATATGATATAGTCGTCCGATCCGGCCCGTTCCGACATATATACGAGTGAGAGTATATAGAAGGCTAACTACAAAGTTTCATTCAGATAGCTTCAAAACTGAGAGACTAGTTTGCGTAGAAACGGACAGACGGACAGACGGACAGACGGACAGACGGACAGACGGACAGAAGGACAGACGGACAGACGGACAGACGGACAGACGGACAGACGGACATGGCTAGATCGACTCGGCTGTTGATCCTGATCAAGAATATATATACTTTATATGGTCGGAGGTGCCTCCTTCACTGCGTTGCAAACTTCTGACTGAAATTATAATACCCTGCAAGGGTATAAAAATATCGATTTAATATAAGCTCTTGGGTATACGTGGTCAAAAAGCCATTGCTTTCCAAAAGTCATATATATTTCTAATAAGAATAAAGAATAAAATATAAGAAAAAAATAAAATTCTTTAGATATTTTATTTAATTTTTCAATATTTTGTAATTTTAAAATTATTAAAACCCCAAAGGCAAGCCAGAGTATACACACACACTGCGGCTTATCGAAATCAGCTTCCTTTCTTGTTTATAAATATTTTTAAAGTTGTAAATTTGTATTTCCTTCTATATCTATATTATTTCTGCAGGATAGTTTTCATTTTTTCCAATCCTCAACAGAGATCAATGTTCGATTGTGCCGCCGGCGCTTGTCTAGGATAACGATTTCTGGCTCGCTCGAGTCCTAATCTTTCGATTGCATGACAAGTGTATATAACTTTATTCAATCAAATGTGCAAATAGCGCATAATGCAAACAGAAATAGTCCAAATGAGCAGACAATATGCGGCCGAGACAATCCGATAAGGAGCGACTTAGAGTCAAAGTCGTACTCGTACTTCGTGTTCATTATTTACTGTCGATACCGACGGGGTCTGCAGATAAACATTGCTTGATTGTTTGATTGATTGAGAGCCGGGCAAATTGTTGAATTGCCGCCAACTGGCTAGGGCCAAGGACAAAGAGTTTCATTTAAAAACAATTACGAATTCGGTTGAATAACTCACAGCGCGTCGATATATTTTTTTATTTTCCATTTTCTCTGTGGCCCGTGTCAAAGGTGTCGCTCATCCACGATGGTGGCAAGGTGGCAGGAGCAGGAGCAGAAGGAGGAGCAGGTGAAAGCCGGGAGGGAGCTTCAAATTGATTGCTTTATTGCAGCGCAGTCCGAGGAGATGGTGGGGAAAAACTAGAGCACCGAAAGTGGTGCAAAATTGATGAAATTCAGTGCAAGTTGTGATAAGAATTTTTGGCGCTCAGTTAGGAAACTTTTCTGGGAACTTTTGCAGTTGGCAGCCGGATTAGTTGGGCGCCAGCTCCAGCACCAGAGCCATCCTGCATTGGACGAGCTCGTACATACTACTACCTCTATCATTCATGAGTTGCCAGCTACAGCTCCAAAACGGCTCTCCGCCATTTTGTTTGCATTGCCAAGTCAAATGAAAATGTCAAAAAGTATAGCACACTTTGTGACTGCCGGGCTAACAGCATTTGCCAAATGAAATTTACATGACATGGCGCCAAAGCGAAGGCGAGAAAGGGAAGCCGGGTTCTTGAAAGGGTTGCTCCCTGGGCTGGACAGGGGACAATGCGGCTCAACGGCCCCCCTTCGGCAATCAAAAAGTGTGCCACATAATTAAGTGTACATCAGAGATTAGCCACCGCCATCAACAAAAACAAGTCGGCCGCTGTCCCATCGGGGAATCATCCTCATCCCGGCACGGTACGCTCCTGGCAGTCCTCGTAATTCCCGCAAAGCGTCCGCCTTTGTGCGCATACTTAAACAGACATTGGCAATGACATGACCTACAACTGTTCCGGCGAACCGCTTTAATGTCTCTCTCATGGCTGCCGGCTAAAAGCCGAGGCGCTTCATTAATTTTATTGCCGCCTGCTTTAGTCCTTCCACTGCCACTTCTAGGACCACCTCCACAGGCAGCTAGGCCGCCTGTTGTCTTTGCTTTGAAGTTTCCTTGGTTGTGGCAAAAGTTTTGATTGTCTAGCCGCACACTCACATGCCGCAAACATGCTACACGGCAAGGAATTGTCACGGAAATTCTTTCTTATTAAGTAAGTTATTGTTGGGATGTAGGGTACGTTTTAAGACAATTTATTAGGATTTTATAGCATGTAGAATTTAAAGATATAAATATATGTGTCCCTCTGAGCTGTGTAGCTTCATACATTTTCTAATATTGTCAACATGCTTTGCACTAGCAGCTTCTGGTGCATCAAAAATTTATATGCAATTTCCAAGCTTTCACTTGGTGTAGTATATAAGCAAAAAAGCAAAAATATTTCCAACGTATTGATGCTTTTCCTATGGTATTTTCCACCGTGCATGACCACATATGCCAGCTCTGGGCGTGTTTGAGCCAACTCAAGTGGTTAAACGTAAAAGTTTTTTAATTAGAGTTGTTTGCGGGCAGCGGCGCATTGTGCGCACAATTTCTTTTCGATCGTCTTGTGCGAATAGTTTCGCTCTAACGTTAACATTCACCGGACAGGAGGCAAAAATTTGATGCCGCGAGGGCGGAATTCCCATAAAATCGGCAGCCGCTGTGTTCGCCGGCGAGCCAAATAAAATTCATGAGCCCTTGTAATAAAAATGTCACAACGATGCAGGCAACAAAAGGCGACAGCCAGCCCATCAACAGAGTGGGCCGGTTGGCTTTCTATAAAATAGCGGCGGGTTTTCATCGGTGGTTTTTCGTGAAGGGAAGCAGCTGTCAGCGACGTCGCTTGACAATGACAATGGCTTACCCTCAAGAGGCGCCCTGGGGGACACGGGGGGGTGGCGCATAAATTTCGCAGACATCTTTTGTGCCCGGGCCTC